TGTTTTTAACAGTGGGGAAGTTCCTCTCTCCTCCCCGGAGCTACCTTTCTCTACAGCTCCTTAGGCGCACACAGAAAACGTTGCTTCCCTCTCTTTTTCTTTCCTCTGCCCCCCACAGAGCTGGGGATCAAACTCAGGGTCCCGTCTGGGCCAAGCACGTTGCCTCCCAGATTCTGGGGTCTCAATAGACTCATTCTAGGGATTCTTTCCAGGTTCTGAACAAAGAATTGGATGGCATGTGCAAATGGCAGTGAGGTTTTGCATTTATAAAGGTAGCAGATGGCTGGGGATTTAGCTCAGCAGCATAAGCACCAGCTTGGCAAGCACAAGGTTGTGAGTTCGATTCCTGGTACCAAAAAAAAAAAAAAAAAAAAAGTAGCAAGCAATAAAAAGGTAGTGAGCTTCTGGCAGGTTAGTGGTGTCTTGTATGCCCTGTTCCTCAGCCTGACTCCAGCTCTGGGTGGTCATGTGGAAAACCTGCTCGATTTCACACAGGAGGAACTGAAGCCAGCACATGCTGATTGGCCTCAGGCTCAGGGATCAGGAACTCTGCTCTGTGTCCCTGTCCTGAATCTCTGAGATTGACAGGGCAGGGCCAGCTGCTCAGCTGGATGGTCAGAATTTTAACACCTACCTTGCATTCATGCCGTACCTCTGAACCACTCCCTGCACCTGGTGGAAAAGTCTAGCCAGATACCAACAGGGTAAGGTGTGTGTGATAGTACACACCTATAACCCTAGCACTCTGGGAGGCTGAGGCAGGAGGATCACAGGTTGGAGCTCATCCCAGGCAGTGTAGCAACTGAACAAGATCCTGTCTCAAAATGTATAAAATACAGTAAGTAGGAGGAGGAAGAGGAGGATGTAGCTCAGGGCAAAAGCCCTGGATTCAGTCCTTACAACCCACACATAAACAAACAAGTTTGGACAGGGCTCAGAACATGTCACCACAAAATATGGCATCTTGGCATCCGAAAACATTACACTGAAGGAATCTGAGAAATCCCTTTGCCCCGAGACCCCTTCCTTGGGGGAGGGCCCTCTGGTGACCAAGAGAAGCAGCACTGTTGTCACTTCTGGGGAACACAGGCTTGAGGTGTCCCCAAGCCCCACTGCAGCTTCTGGTCCTTGATTCTGTCACACTGGCCTGGGCTTCCTGGAGCCTGGTACTGAAGCACTCAGCTTCATGGCCTCTTGGGTTGTCCCTGTCATCATGGAGGCTCCCAAGTCATGCAACGCTTGGACTGGGCGTGTGTCCCACTACACTGATTCTGTGGTTGCTCAGCCCAGACCCACAGCAGGGCCTGCTCTGATCGATCACCTGTGTCCCCTCTGTCACATGCACTGAGCCTGTATCCTGAGGTCCCGGGGCAGTGAAGTTTCCTCCTGTGGGAAACAGGCTAAGGCTGCTGCGGGAAAGGCTGCGGGTAAAAACAAACAAACAAAAAAATAAATAAAACTTGGCCTTGGGAAGTGTGAGAGATAAACATCAGTTCTTTCTCAAAGATCTCCTCTAGGGCCTTCTGTTACAGTAGCATAGGATAGACTGAGACAGCTGGTCTTTTTTTTTTTTTTTTTTTTTATCTTTTTCCTTTTTATCGGTACTGGGGATCAAACTCACGACTGCCTGCTTGCAAGGCAGGCGCTTATGCCGCCGAGCTAAAGCCCCAGCCCCGAGACAGCTGGTCTTGTAATCCACAAACGAGCCCCCAAACTTGAGTTCAAAAAATGAGGCAAAAACATATTTTAAAAAGCAGCACTGCTTTATTTTATCCTGGGCCCAGCGACACAGTGCAGTTGGAGATTGCAAAAGCTGTGTGTTGCTCCTCTATACTTGCCACCTTTGACACATCACAATTTACACAGTAAGGGGTTATGGGCGTGGATCAGGAAATCTGCTAATGAGGAAGATCTTTGTTTTCCTTAGCAGAGGGCAGAGTAGTCCAGCAGTAATTAACAACCTTTGTTAGCTTATTTTAGCACCATGTCTGTTACTTGTAGAGGGCAACAATGGTTAACATATCAATTAGGTTAGGTTTTACAATTCTTTAAAGAGGAGAGCATTGATTAATGTATCAGTTAGGTCACCCACAGGAAAAGAAACACGCATACAGAACAGTAGGCCACATTACAGGTATTTTGGTATAATACAAATATAACGAAGCTCTTTTTGCTAGTGCAACACTGGTTGAAGGAAAGGTATTTTGTTGCTCAGGTTGGGCTCAGTCTTGCAAGCTTCCTGCTTCAGCCTCCCAGCGTGCAGACTTGCTGGTGATTACAGACCTGAGTCACCCTGCCTGGCTTTTTTCCAGTACTGGGTATGGAACCCAGGGATTCATTTGTGCTAGGCTAGCACTGCCCCTGAGCTGCATCCCCAACTCCCCACACCTTATTTTGTCAATTGTGTTTAAAGACACCCGGCTTGATACAAACTGTCAGTTCACTAACATTGAACAGGGTGAGGCCTCCTTAACTGCCCTGTCTCTGTAAGGTGCGGTACACTCTTCCAGCACTTGGGAGCGCCGGCTGGAGCTTCAGCCCTGGATGAGGGTCATTTAAATAGCAAAATCCCCAACAGAGCACCTCAAATGTGAAAAACATGGCACTGAACGGACCACAGAGTAACATGGTGGGAACCAAACACGACAGCTTGCTCAGCCTCAGCTGGGAGGGGCCAGCCAGGCAACCCAAAGTTTCACAGGGCACTAAGCAAGCCCCAACAACCACGCCTCACACATTTGACTCTGGAGTTAAGTAGGTGAGTCCCTAAACAGAGTCTGTGGCTAATGAGGACCAGTGGTGAACTTGCTTCCACTCTGCGCTGGCCTTTCATTCTCTGTGTCCTCTCCTAGTGTCCAGTAAGACCAACGATCCTAGGGGTTTATTAGTCAGGCAAATCTGCCCCTGGCATTTGCCCAGAGTGAGAGAACTAGCGTTGACCCTTGGCCCAGCTCAGGCAGACCAGGATGAGCTGGTTCCCCACCATATCACATAAAAGCGCCCCCGTACTGGGAATGAAACACTAAGCTACATCTCCAGCCCTGTTTTATCTTTGTGACAGGCTCTCCCTAAAGTCACTCAATTGTCTCGGACTTGCCATCTCCCTGCCTCAGCCTCCCAGAGTATTGAGATTACAGGTAAGTGCTACCATTTTTGAAACATAAATGATTTACCAGCTCTGGAAAGGAAAACCTTATTAAAAACTTCGTGCTAGGAAGGTTAGCAGTGCCGCTGTTTCACACCTGCTTAGTTGCTAAAATATCGCGTTTCATACTTTGTAACCAGAGCTGCAGCTTTCCAAATGCAAATTCAGCAGCCCCGTTTCACAATGAAAATGGTTTCCCAGCCTTCGTAGACAGCTGTTGCCCATCCATCTCCAGATGGATCCTGGTGACTGAGAATCAGGAGCCAGGGAGACGCCCGCTGGGGCTCCTGGGACTGCTTCCTACCTCTGGGGAGGACCTGACACCCCCTCTTTTTTCCAGTGGGGGGGGGAGAGGGAGGCGCTTGAGGCCAGCAGGGCACAATCACTAACACCTACACCTTTCCTGGGATAATAGGTGAAGAAACACAGTCTTCCCCGGGGGCCACATGCTGAGCTCAGGGTAGACGTTTCCAGCTCTGCCTGCTGGCAGCACGGGGCTGGAGCCTGGAGCCGGTTTGTGGAGCCAGGGCTGAGGTGCTGTGCTGGCCGCTGGCCTCTGGCTGCTCATCACATTTTCACCTCTGCTGACCTGTGTCCAGCTGTTCTTTCTGCAGGCTGCAGATAAGGACACGGAACCTGGAAGAGGCTGAGGGGTGCTCACCAGGTCTGAAGAGGGGAGCAGGAAGGGCGCAAGGAGAAAGTGATCTGTTTGGGGGCCACCCTCACCTTACAGAATCTGCCTCAACCCAGACTTGGGCTTCTCAGCCCACGAAGTGGAATTGCAGCCTGCTCATAGACCACTTGGTCAGCGTTATTTTGTAGCAGCCTGGATGAGGCCCACAGAGGGCTGCAGAAATCACCAGCTCTCCCTTCTCCACCTCTCAGCCCCCTCCTTCTTCCTGCCCCACACCTGTCAATCATGGCCTGTACTTACTATGACACTTAGGAAAACTTCCTGTGAGTGTCATTATGTGGCGAATCTCTGTCACTTACTGTGCATCAAAGACAATCGAGCCAAACAAAAAGTGCAAGAAAGCAAAGCAAGTATGGTGGTGCAAGCCTACAATCCCAGCACTCCAGAGGCTGAGGCAGGAGGATCACCATGAATTAGAGGCCAGCTTGAGCTACATACTGAGTTCAAGGCCAGCCTGCACTACCTAGTGAGACCCTGTCTCAAACAAACAAGAAAACACAGAGGCACTAAATTAAATTATTTACATAGTGGGCCAAATTTATGCTGGCTGATGTCATAAAAAAAGAAATGGGGAAAAAATGTCAAAGGGATCTGAACGTGGTGGCATCTGTCTGTAACTCTAACATTTAGGAGGCTGAGACAGGAGGATCAGGAATTCGAGGCCAGGTTGTGATACACAGTTCTTACAGGGTCTTCCCTGTCTCAAACCCCCTCCCCCTGAGGAAAGCGGGAAAGAAAGAGACAGAGAGCATGTCAGAAGGATGTTAAGGACATACGTTGGCTCCACCTGCGACTTTCTCGTGGACTCGAATGAAAAGAAACAGAAAAGCCAGCGTAGTTCTGTGGTGCACGCCTGGGAGGAGTAGGCGGATGGCAAGTTCGAGCCGGATTCAGTGAGACGCTGTCTCAGAAGTTTAAAAAGGGCTGGAAATGTGAGGGTCCTGGGTTCAATTCCCAGTTTAAAAAAAATAGTGGGGGAGGCAAGTCGAGAATTCTCCCCAACATCTCTGCATCCCTCCTTTGGGGAAAACTCCTCCCCCCCGCCCAGGTAGGGTGTTCCTGGGCCCCGCCTCCGAGAAGGAAGGGCGGGGCGAGTTTCCTGCCCGCCCATCGGGCGTCTCGTAGGCTCATTTGCATGACCCGAGGGGCGGGGCCGTCGCGTGACGTCATGCGGCAACCTGCCTGGTGGCTGCCGGGGCGCGGCAGAGCTGGCGACGCCTGCGCGCGGGACGCTAGCGGCGCGGACCCGAGCGGCCATGTACGACCCCGAGCGCGGCTGGAGCCTGTCCTTCTCGGGCGGCGGATTCCTGGCCTTCTACCACATTGGGGCGACGCGCTGCCTGAGCGAGCGCGCCCCGCACCTCCTGCGCGATGCGCGCATGTTCTTCGGCTGCTCGGCGGGGGCGCTGCACGCGGTCACCTTCCTGACCGGGCTCCCGATGGGTGCGTGCGGGACCGCGGGGTGCTGGGGGCCCGGGGCCGGGCTGCACGCGCTCAGACAGATGTTTCCCTCCCTCGCGGTGCCGGCTGCGCCTCGCAGTGTGCCAGGAGGCGTAGGGGTGAGAGCTGGGCTTCAGGGGTCGCGGACATTTGCACCTCCCCACCGGAGGGAACCCTCCAAGAGAGCCCCCAGTCCCAGGACACGGCGGGGATCCCCCAGCTCCAGAGGTGAGGGAGGGAGGGAGTGGGATACTTGGTGGGGAAGCTCGAGGTGGTGGTGCTCCCGGCATTCTGGGCCCTTGAGGCCTTGGCTCCAGCTCCACTAGAGACTGAAGACGCGGGTGTGAGCGGGTGGGAGATGCTGGGGATAGGATCCGACCGAGCTAGAGCCTCAGCTTCTCCATCCCTTTTATGTTTTGCTTCTTAGTTTGTTGCTGGGTATGGTACACACCCCTGTAATCCCAGCACTCTGGAGGCTGGAGCAGGAGCATCACCTTGAGTTCAAGGCCAGCTGGAGCTACACAGTGAGTTCAAGGCCAGCCTGAACTGCTTATTGAGACCCTGGTATGAAAAACAAAATTTTAAAAAAATTTTGTTATTTAAAAAAAATTGTTATTTTGAGACAGTCTTTGCTAACTCACAAAGTTGCCCAGGCTGGACTCAAACTCAGATCTCTTAGCCGCCCTTAGCTCATGGCCCGCCCACTCCATGGGGGCCACCCTTCGGCAGCTTCAAATGCAGAGCCCAGAAATGGAGGATGCGGGATGGGAAGTGTTTCCCTTTCTTTCTCCTCTTCTCCCTCCCTGAACCTCTCCCCTGAAGCTGGAATAGACCCCCAGACCTGCCCCCATCCCATCTTGCCCAGCGAATGCTGAGCTTGGCCCAGCTGTCTCCTGCCCAGCTCGTCCTCCCTGACAGTGAGGTCCCAGACATTTGATTCTTGGCCTAATTAAACATTTATCCACGTGGAGGGGAAGCAGGAGGCAGGGTTTTCTCCTTAACCCAAACTAGGAGCATGTGGCTTCTCTCCCAGGACCCCAGGTGTTGTCACCCAGGAGTTCTGAGTCAGGGAGCTGGTGACACCAAACATCCCCAGGTGTAATAACTGTGCCTCCCTATCATTTTTTGTTTGTCTGGGCTTCTTTTGCTGTTTCTGTTTGCTCTGCCTGCCAAGCCAGCAGGGTGTGACTTGGGCAGTAGTGGAGAAGCCACCGGCACACCAGCCAAGCTCTTCCATTGGGCAGGATCTGTGAGGACACCCTGGCCTGATTGGATTTGGGATTAGGAGAGTCTGCCCTGGAGGGTACCTGCCCTGCAGTCTGTCTTCCCCAGCAAGGGAGAGAAGAGCAAAGGGCACAGTGTGTCCCCTCAGGGAGGACTCAGCCAGCTGTCTACGTGCCCAGGGCTTTAGCTATGATAAAAGCCACTCTTGTATCCTGGCCTCCGGGGACCACGTGGCCCAGTGCTGAGTGGGACAAGATTTAAGTGTCATAAGCAAAAACACTGAGTCCTGGAGAGAGGGCAGGTGCAGGACTTGGGGAGACACAGGGGCCACCACGTCCTGGGAAAACAGGACAGAAAAGTCAGGACTAGGAACCACTCCCCTGTTGCTCCAGAAGTCTTCTTTTCCTGTTTTGATATCTGGGTCCCAGGAGGGACCTGCTGAGTAGCATCTCCCTGGGGCTCTGCAACTTGGGCCCAGGTCCCTGGGGCATCTGAGCAGAGGCTGGACCTTGAAGAAGAGATGGCAGTCTGCCAGCAGGTACAGGGTCTCCCTAGCCAGGTTCAGCAGATGGGCGGGAACAGCAGGGAACCAGGGCAGAGGCAGATCTGGATAGGCTGAGGACATGTCTCTTTGTGTGCAGCCTGGGATTAGTGGCCAGCTGGGGTAGATGGCAGAGGCGGGCTCGTGTGCCAGTGTCGGGGTGAATCACTGATGGGGCCATGACCGTGCCCACGACATGGTCTGGTTCAGTCTGGCATTAGGGGCTTACGGTGGGGGCTAGTTATTTCCTGGCAGCATCGTGTATGTGGAACACCCTAGAGATTACATTTACCCTCATTCTTTCTCTCTCTCTCTCTGTCTCTGTCTCTCTGTCTCTCTCTCTCTCTCTCTGAGGCAGGGCTTCACTATGTAGTCCAGGCTGGCCTTGAACGCAGGGGCATCCTCTTGCCTCAGCCTCCCAAGTGCTGGGATCACAGGTGTGCACCACCATGCCTGGCCCATGTGTGGGTAACTCTTAACCTACATGACAGACTCAGGCCAAGCACACATTCTTTCTGCTGCACCCCATAAGAGCAAGACCATCCATGCCAAAGCTGAGGTGCTGCTGTGTACCTGGCTTTGTGGACACACAACTGGGATGCTGTCATAGGCTTTGTCTGGGAGCTGAGGTCAGTGAAAATATACCACAGGCCCGCACGCCATGTCCTGCTTCCTTGTTGTTGCTGTGTTGACAGTGAGACCCATAGGTGAACTTAGTTTCAGTGAGCCTACTGTACCCCTAATATTATTTTTACATCTAATCAATACAAGCGCTTTTTTTTTGTCTTTTTGAGGAAGGGACTTGGCTATGCAGTTCAGGCTGGTCTCAAACTCACAGCAATCCTCCTGCCTCAGCCTCCTGAGTGCTGGGATTCCAGGCTTGCATCACCATGCCTGGCCAAACCATTGTTGATGAGCTGCTTCCTGCTAAGCTTTGAGGTGTGGGGTGTGTTGGACACACTTCAGGGAGACTAGTGCCATGCTCCAGGGGTGTAGGTGGCTACTGTGTCCATGCACTCAGGTCCAGAGGCAGCTGTGGGGCCTCCTGGCTTCTGGTCTTGCCCCAAAGCATCCCTTGTCTCATGGTGGCATCTTCTTTCATGTATTTGTTTCTTTCCCCAGACCGGATTCTGCAGATGCTCATGCACATTGTCCGCAAGGCCAGGGCAAGGAGCATGGGCACCCTCCACCCGTATTGCAACCTGAGCAGTATCCTGCAGGAGGGGCTCCAGGAGATCCTCCCGGACAACGTGCACCAGCTCATCTCCGGCAGAATCTGCATCTCGCTCACCAGAGTGTCGGACGGGCAGAACGTGCTGGTGTCCGACTTCCAATCCAAGCAGGAAGTACTGGATGTAAGCCGTTTGCTTTGCTGGGTGTGCAGGGGTCGTGGAGTAAGAAAGCCACAGAGAGGGTTGCAAAGGCCCCCGCCTCACATGACATAAACTCTGTGTTTCCTGGTGTTTGTCAACCTTGTGTCCTCCAGGACAGTCCCCTCCCCTGATTTTTTTTTCTTCCCTGCAATCCTGGGGATGGAACCCAGGGCCTCGTGCATGCTAGATGAGTGAGCAGTGCCGGCCCAGTTCTTTCAGTTTGAAATAACTCCTCTCCCTTCTTTAAGACTCCGTGTAGGTTCCGCCTGTCCGGGGAAACTGTCACGGGTGCGCTCCTCCCCTCACACCGTTCCGTCTACAAGGAGGAGACCTCCAGAGCCCCTTTCTTAGGGCCTGACAACCAGAAGATAATTAACAAAATTAAAAAAATCTTTTAAAGCCAGCCATGATGGTGCACACCTGTATTCCCGGCACTTGGGTAGCTGAGGCAGGAGGATTGCTATGAGTACCTGGTCAGCCTGGGCTACATAATGAGTTCAAGACCAGTTCAAGTGTATCTAGCACTTTGCTTCTGAAGTTGGGTTTGCGGATCCTGAGAGGGCATCCCCGGGGAGCCTGTTGATGCTGTTGGGTCTCTGAGCTTCCCGCTGACCTGCCGTAGAAGAACCAGCAGCCATGGTTCCACCAGCTCCCTGATTCTTATAAGGACAGCACTGGTCCAGCCCCGGGCAGCCACCAAGCTTACGCTTCATGGTGTCTCTGTCCCATCTGTGACAGCCAGTCACAGCCGTCCTGGGGAGCAAGAGCCGGAAAGTGGGGTGAGCCGTAAGGGTAAGCAGCTCAGGCTGCTGTCAGACCCGTGGGCCTCAAGGACCAGTGCGGAGGTTTGCTGTGGCCCACCCACCTGCATCAACGCTCCTGTGTGCAGGAGCGTTTCAGTGCGGTCCCAGATGGCTCTGGGAAGGCTGGGAAGGGTCTGGGAAGTTTGCACACGGACGGTGCCCTGACTTGCTGCCGTCCCCACAGGCCTTGCTGTGTTCCTGCTTCATCCCCTTCTTCTGTGGCTTAATCCCTCCGACCTTCAGGGGTGTGGTAAGTGCACCAAGGTGGCAGCGGCACGGGAGCGGGTGCTGAGTCCTGGGAGCCTGCTTGGAAGTGCTTTGGAGTCTGGCTTGTCTCTGCAAGGTGTGAGCCTCCCGGCTTTCAGCCTTGCGGTCAGACTATCCCTGGACCAGCTTCCGGCCGCCTGGGCAGTAAAACTGACTCCTGGGCAGCGAAACACCTTGCTGCCTGTGAGGGACACGTGTCATCTGCTTTGCTTGACCTGCCTGTGCGCACTTCCCGGCAGCCTGGTTCAGGACGCTTAGGGATCCATTATCCGTGTGAGGTAGAGCTTCACTGCCTGGGAGGGGCGGAGCGGCCAGGTATTTTCCAACAGCAGCAAAACTCTGCATCTGGCTTTCCACAGGCGTTTGCTTTGTTTTGTTTTTTCTGCTTTGCAATGCATAAGCCCAGCGAGACTGTCCAGTCTTTGCCTTTTAAGGTCACACAGTAATTGATAAAATCACCAGCGGCAGAGTTCCATCTGCAAGGGGAGGCGGCTGCGGCTGCCCTCTGCTGCCTCCCTCAGGCACAGCTCGTGTGGTGCCCTGCAAGGCCACTCTTGTCCTCTGGGGCTGGACCCTGCCCGGGAGTGACCTAAATGCAGCTTGGTTTCCGGTGTTGGCCCCTGTGCTATCTGTGGCATGAGAGACTAAGGTCCGAAGCCATGAAGCGGTCACCCTGGGCTATGCACCACAAGTGGAAGGGAGCTTGGACTGTCCTTTCCTTCCAAGATGCACTTTGCAATACGGGGCTCTGCGGCCATGCAACATGGACGAGCTTAGCACAGAGCCCAGGCTGGGGACTTGGGGAGGGTGGGCTCCTTCAGTGCCACCCCACCATCGTCATCGGTCCCTTCCTCCAGCCTGGGGACACAGCCAGCCATGGGGCGATTGCCAGGTCAGCTGACACAGCAGAGGCACGGTCAGTCCTGTGCCCTCCTGGGAGTTCTGATGGAAACTAGGTCACATGTGCTGGTCCTGAGCCTGAGCAGCTTAGGCGGTGCTGCAGAAAAGCTCGCGCTGGCACGCAGCTCGGTGGCTGAGCAGTGTCAGGGGCCCGCAGCTTGCCTGGGCCTCACACCCAGCGCCACCTCTGGGAAAGTCTAAGTAGGTGAGAGAAATGACGGCGATAGACCAGACTCGCTCCTCCTCAGGCTTCGCTGAAGATTCCTGATTGTATTTTTATTTTTTGTTGGTACCAGGGATCCACCCATGGGCCTGCTGTTATTTTTTATCTTTTTTAATTTTGAGACTGAATGTTGCTACATTTCCCAGGCAGAACTCAAACTGTGGATCCCCTTGGCTTTGCCATAGAAATTTTTTTTTTTTTTGTCTTTTTCCTTTTTATCGGTACCAGGGATCGAACTCACGACTGCCTGCTTGCAAGGCAGGCGCTTATGCCGCTGAGCTAAATCCCCAGCCCCTGCCATAGAAATCTTGATAATGCACGCGGGTGCCCATCTGACCTGTTCTGGACTCTGGGCGAGCATCTCTTGGTGGCTGAGATGTGGCTGAAGGTGGTTGATTCTCTCTTGTTGGGAGCCAAATGGTGCTCTGGGGTGTCCCTGACTGCAGGGATCGGTGATGAGGTCCTCAGAGGCTTCTTGACAGCCCCCAGTTTGAGCCTGGTAGCAGGGCTAGAGCTAGGTCCAAACCCTGGCTCCCGGGTGCAAACACACTGTACCCAGCCTGCCCCTGCCCAGGGGTGGGCAGTAATGTCATTGCTCAAGGGCTCAGATAGGAACAACTCACTTGTATTCAGCTATTTTTTTTTTTTTTTTTTTTTTGGTACTGGGAATTGAACTCAGGACCTTGTGCTTGCCAGGCAGGCGCTGTGCTGCTAAGCTGTATCCCCAGCCCAAGAGCACAGATGAAGGTGAAATCATCTTAAGAATAACTCAGCTAGGGTCGGAGATATAGCTCAGTAGCATAAACACCTGCCTGGCAAGAGCAAGGTCCTGACTTTGATTCCCCGTACCAAAGTAATAATATTATTATTCAGCTTAGTGCCGTATGTGGGAGATTTTCTAGGTTCAAGGCCCATTGATTTAATCTCAATACCCCTTCAAGTTGTTGGTTTTCCTCTCCGAGGTATGGTGAAAGAGAGGCTCATGGGCTAAATATCTTGTCCCAGATTTCCCAAGAGCAGGAGGATTGTGGATTTGAACCCCTGACCTTAGGACCTACTTAGGTACCTGTACCCCAGCCTCCATCAGTCTTGTTTGGTACCAGCCGTTGTTGTGCAGTGCACATTCTATATAACAGTACGTGGTGGCCCTGAAGGCCAGCATGAGTAGCCAGGTCTCCCCCATTACAGACACGCTTGGGCAGGATTGACCCTGAGAGAGACTCCTAAGCCGCTCTGTGAGTCCTCTGCTCCTTGTGCACTGAACGTGAGTGCGGAGCTGTGGACGGTAGCGGTCCTCTGTCTCCTTCTTTGAAGCGTTACGTGGATGGAGGTGTGAGCAACAACCTGCCGGTCCTGGACTCCCAGACGACCATCACGGTGTCCCCCTACTATGGGGAGTGTGACATCTGCCCGAAGATCAAGTCCACGAACTTCATGCAGGTGACCGCTGGCAACCTGAGCTTCCGCCTGTGTCTGGGGAACCTCTACCTCCTCTCCAGGACCATGTTCCCTCCCAACCTCAAGGTGAGAGCCCCTGGGGCACTGAGCCCACCTTCCTCTGCGTGCACAGAGCTGTAAGTTGTGAGCTGTGAACTGCTGTCTGTACAGAAGGACAGGGAGACTTTGTCACCGGCAGTGACAGTGAACTCCAGGAAAAGCTCTTGTCCGTCCCAGGAGCTTAGGGGCAGCCACCTGGTCCCAGATATCACCTGGGGTCACACAGGCAGACTCGAAGCCCTGAGGGCTTCCAGGGACAGGGCCTGATGTAATTGGGCTGCAGCCCATGGACCTAGGGTTCTCCAGGGTACGGGGGGGGGGGGGGGGTTGAAACCCAAGTCTTGCATGGGCTAGGCGGGCACAGCACCCCTGGCCCAGGAATTTTGATTTTTATCTTAGTTACCAATGTAATTCTGACTCACAGCTGTAGTCAGCAGCCTCAGCCACACAGCGGGCACCTGTGTGACCGGTGTGGTTGGCTTGCAGGTGATAGGGGAGCTCTGCCTCCGAGGCTACCTGGACGCACTCCGCTTCTTGGAGGAGAAAGGTGAGTCCAGCTGGCGTCTGTTGCCCAGCTCCCGCCGTGGTCTTGGGAACCTGGTGGCCCTCTGTTCTGTCCCCTGTTGCCCAGTGTCTTCCTGTGTTGTCTTGCTCCCCTCACCCCGCAGCCCCAAGATCAAGAAACCTCCGGCCCATTTACAGACCTGCGCAGAGGCCCTGGAGTTGGGCCCCAGCGCCCCCACCTTGCTTTTCTTTCTGCTGAGTCCCTGGGAGCCTTTGGCTGATGCAGGGTGAGGTTAAATGAGTCCCAGGAGGGGTCCAGATGCAGAGGTCCAACCGCGGTCCCCACTGGGCCCCGCCACATCGGGTGGGGTGGGGCTGGCTGGTCCTGCTTCCCCGGCAGGTGCCCGCCTTGGCGCCCTCCTTGCCTCGCTCGGGCTACAGAACTGGGCAAGGACATGGTCACATGGTCTCGTTGCTGTGACCGGGGGCTGTATAGACCGCAGTGGCCCCGTGAGACTGCAGTGCCAGCTGACTCTGTCCCAGTCTGGGATCCCAGTGACAAGCTGCCCTCCCGGGTCCCTGTGCACCACAGCTGTGTCCTAGCAGAACTGGGTTCCAGATGCGTGGGAACTGTTTGATTTCTGCCCCTGTGTTGGAGCTTTGAATTAGGCTGTCACCAAGGTGACATACGATTTTAGAGGACATATGAGTGCCCTTTGCACCCCTCCTGGGTGCCTGGCTGGGGGCCCATGAGCCAGGGACACTGTGGTGAAGGAGGTGACCACTGGCAGCAGTGGTCAGGGGAACAGAGTGGAGAAAGGGACAGGGTGGGCTGACCGGAAGAGGCGGGCGCTGTGGGACCTTGCAGCGGAGGATGTGAGGTGCGGAGAGAGCACAGATCTGATAGAACTGGAGCCTGGGACCTGGGGACATGGGGCCTGCGGTCACCATGCCCTGTGTGTCAGAGAGGGCTAGACATGGTGTGTGTGTGGGGGGGCAACTGTGGTGCTGGCTGGGCCTTGTAGACTTCGGAGGGGTTTGCATCTTGCAGCACTAGGGAGCCATTGAGAGCCCTGGAGCAAGAGTGGGGTGGACCCCAGGAGAGCCTGTCCAGCCGTAGTAGAGAGAGGGCAAGAGCAGGCTCAGGTATGATGGTGGCACTTGTGATCCCAGCCATTCAGGAGGCTGAGGCAGGAGGACTGCTTGAGCCAGGAGATGGAAGCCAGTGTGGGCGATGTGATGGGGACCCCCCTCGAAAGCAAATGCAAACAGAGGTTGCATCAGCATTCTGGAGGGCAGGGAGACAGTGAGGACTTGGCTGGGCTGAAGATGGGGCCGGGCAGAGTCTGATACGGAAACTGGTCCAGAGGGATTTGGAAAGGACCTGAGGAGATTGGGGAAGAGGATGCCCCGGGTAAGGGAAGTGGGCTGCACTCGCTGGCCAGGACCTTGGCAGGGCTCACCTGACTGGAAAGGGATCCCTGGGCCATATTAGGAGGCAGCAGCTGGGAGGGGGAGGGGTGGCAGAGCAGAGACCCGGACCATCAGGGAGATCCTGGGGTGCCTTGCGGACGGGGTGCAGTGGTCCCTGGGCTTTCTCCCCGGGCAGTGCGGGACGCCCCCCAGTCATGATCAGTCACTACAGAGGGCACCGAGCACACTTAGGGCTTCCCTGTCGCCCTCTGATGCCTCCCACGCCAGACCTGGCTCTGCCGCCTGCCTTCTAGCCATGTGACCCTGGCCAAAGCCCCAACCTCTGTATCTGGGCAGGGAAATGGAGATGGTGTGAATGGCCACAGTGGAGAGCCTGGTCAGGGCTGCCCGTCCAGTGCTCAGCAGGGCCTGGACTGCAGCGGAGCTGTGACAAATGAGTCAGGACTCCCTTCCCTTTCTCTGTGGGCGGCGGAGGTAGGGACAGAGCCCTGCTGAGCGCCTCATTCTCCCTGCTGCAGATTCCTGCCCTGGTGCCACCCCAGCCCTGGCTTCTGGGGAGCAGCAGGCTGCTCTGTTCCTTTCCACCACCTCCTGGGGCAAGTCTGAGCCTGGAAACAGGTCCGGTGCTCAAGCCCCCCTTTCCTGAATCCTGCCCGCCCCAGGCATCTGCAATGGGCCCCAGCCCAGCCTGACGTTCTCCAAGCGAGAGCAGAAGCCGGAGGTCGCAGCGCACAGCTGGGAAGGCCCAGTGCAGGGCCTGGCCGAGGTCGGTGAGCTGCTGGACCACCTGCGTCTCAGCATCAGGCCCTGGGACGAGCGCATCCTGGAGTCCCTGTCGCCCTCGCTCACTGTAGGTACGGCAGTGGTGGAGGGGTGGAGAAAAAGTCCACGGTCCTTCCTTACAGTTTAATTGGGAACCTGTGTTCCCCCAGCAGTACCGAGGCTTGAGCCCAGGCCTTTGCGCTGAACAACACTGTTTCACTTATTTTTTGCATTTTGTTTTGTGTTTTGTCTTTTTGAGACAGGGTCTCCCTGTGTAGTTCAGGCTGGCCTTGAGCTCAGTTTGTAGCCCAGGCTGGTCTTGAACTCGTAGGGATCCTCCTGCCTCAGCCTCCCGAGTGCTGGGATTACAGGCGTGCGCCACCACGCCCAGCTTTTCTTCGTCACATTTTTTAAAACAGAGTCCCACTAGGTTGCTAAATTGCCCAGGCTAGACTCAAACTTGAGATCCTCCTGCCTCAGCCTCCCAGAGTGCTGAGGTGACAGGCCAGAGCCCCATCTCCTACCAGGGAGATGAATCTCCAAAATGGTTTTTTCAGTCCTGAGCAAACTAATTAAAGACTCCGGCGGTTTCCTGAGCAAAGTCAGCAACCTGCTGCCCGTGCGGATCTTGACCTACGCCATGCTGCCCTGCACACTGCCTGTGGAGTCTGCAATTGCCATCGTCCACAGGTGAGTGCAGCAAGCCACTCGCTGCTCCCTGACGGGCCGGGCTGGGCCGGGGACTCAGCCAACAGTTAGCTGGACAGCCTCGGTGTGGGCAGTACTTTGGGTCCTCAGAGCCATCGGCACTTAAGAGAGGGCGGCCGCTGCACACAGCTTCCGGCACAGCTCCTCTGATCTGGGGAAACTGAGGCCTGGAGAGGTTGAGGTCAGAGCTCTGTGTCAGGCCAGGCTTGGAAGCAGGGTCTTTGCTGCCACTCAAGCCTGTCTTCCTTGTATTTTTTATTTTAATTGTTGGCGATGCTGGGAGTGGAGTTCAAGCCTTGTGCTTGCTAGGTTAGCACCCTGCCTCAGAGCCACATCCCTGACCTCTGTTTTGTCTTTGTTGGTTTGGGTTTTTGAGGCAGGGTCTCACTACATAGTCCAGGCTGGCCTCAAACTCCCAGTGATCCTCCTGCCTCAGCCTCCCACGTGCTGGGATTACAGGCGTGAGCCACCACACCTGGCTTTACTTTCTTTTTAGAAAATAAATCCAGTGTATTGCTGGTCATGGTGGTGCACATCTGTAATCCCAGCTATTTGAGAGGCTGAGGCAGGAGGATCTCAACTGAAGGGCAAACTCTGAGATCCTGTCTCCAAAACAAAACAGAGGTGGAAAACCCAACATGTGCGCTGGGAGTAGCTTGGTGGTAGTGTGCCCTGTGCTCAGTCCTCAGTACCACAGTCATCCTCAGGGCCACTGTCCTCTCCCTGGCCTGCCCCACCCCTGCCCACCTTGGAACACCGACATCACCCCTGAGCTATCCGTGTGTGAGGCAGGGCCTCCCCGTGACTGAGGTGGGGTCTGCAAGGACTCTGCCCTGGACCCTGGCACCTCACTGACCTTGCATGTGACCCAGATGCTCCCTGGGAGCCAGGTGACCTGAAAACAAAGAAAACGCCTTTCCCTCTGTCACCGTGAAGCCCTTGAGCTGTCTGTAGACACAGGTGGTCTCATATTGCTTTAGGGACCCGGCTGGGCTGCATTTCCCAGACCACCCCGAATCCGCCTTCCAGGAGTGTTACATTGGGGTGTGGGGGTCTCTTGGCAGCTGCTCTGGCCCAAAGGTGCCACTGCGACGTGGCTACTGTGGGTTTACTTTCGTTTGGCTCATTTCTGTGTGTGTGTATGTGCGTGCGCACGCACATGTGCAAGGTAGTCTTGGTTTCTCTCTGCAGACTGGTGTTGTGGCTCCCGCATGTCCCTGATGATGTCCGTTGGCTGCAGTGGCTGACATCCCAGGTCTATGCCCGTGTGACCACATGTCTGCTCCCTACTTCCAGGTGAATACTGTGGCTGTGGCTGTGGGGGTCCCACGGACACCTCTGGGTCTGTCCGGCCTCACCTAGACCTGAGGCCCCTGTGCCTCTGGCCGTGCCTGTAACCAGGCTGCCTGCCCGTCTGCGTGTCCCCAGGGTCCTGGTGTGGGTGGTGGCAGAGGGGAGAGGCCAGGGGAGGATGCCAGGTGGAGAGGATGTGTCAGGAGCGTGGCTCCGGGGGCCACTGGGCTGTCACTGTGATTGGCAGACACAGGACAGCAGGACGTAGGGGAGCACGAGGGTCCCGATCCCCGGGAAGGTAACCATTGGGCCATTTGGGGGCTAACCCACGGGTCAGGCAAGGAGGAGCAGGGCCAGTCTTAGTGAAATCTGTGGGACCATGAGGCTTCCCGCCGTGCCTCAGTAGGGGACAGACATGCCAGGTGGCAGTGCTACGGCCCTGGGGGGCCATGGCCTTATCAGGGACCCAGTGAGTGACACCTGTCGTTGGCCCCTGGGCAGTGACCGTGGCAAGGAGGTCACTGTGGCTCTGGACGGGCCCTCTGCCAAGTGTGGGTGACAGTGCCAGGCCATCGTGGCTGGGACTGAAGCCCCCAGCACCACCAAGCCAGCCTCCTCCTTTGTTCCAGGTCCCAGATGTCAGGGAGCAGCCACCCGTGAACCCCGGAAGGTGGTGTTGCAGGCTTAGACTGCAAGGGGCCAGCAGGGGGCGCTCCCGCCTGGGTCCAGCTTGTCCCTCCACTACACAGCATCTTTGGGGAGAGGGACCTGCCTTCCCTGCTTTCCCAGAAAAGGGTCTTAGGGTTATTTGAGGAGGTACCTGATGACCCTTCCTGAGGTCCTGAGCCTTCCCACCTTGCCCAGATGTCCTGCTGTTTGTGAGCTCAAGGTCCCCGCCTCTCTCCCGGATTGATTTGTCCCTTACCCATGGCTTTGGTGGTGGGCAGCCGGGCGTCCGTGCACATGCAACTCTGGTATTTAAGCTTCAGTTGGCTCTGTGGGTTGGGCAGTGTCACAGGAAGCCTGGCACAGAGGCTCTGACGGCTGTGTCTGTCACAGCCCCCTCCTGGCTGGGCAGTACCGAGGACGGCCTCGGTGTGGACAGCAGGGGCCGTGAGCCCTGACCTTGCTCTGGCGGTCATCAGGGCAGGGGCCTGGGTGTGGGCTTCTGGCGCTGTTAGAGCCTCTGAGGGCCGGCCTGAGCGGTTAACTGTTATGATGGTACAGACACCAGCTTTGGGTTCTTCCGGGAAAGCCCTCCCCAGCCCATGGGATTCCAGGGGCCTTCCCTCTACCCATCTTTTAAATTGTTTTTCACCCTTCTTATAATGCGTATGTGTAATATCTGTCTGCTGTTAAATAACAGGACAGAGTCCAGAGCTTTGGCACTAAGCCGCACATGCCCTGTGTTTGTGTATTTTGAGAGAGTCTTACTGCATTAACCCCCTGGGCTCAGAGCCCCCTGCTCTAGCCACCTGGGTGCTGGAACGACAGGGGTATGGCACTTTGTCTGGCTAGGATCTTTTTTTTAAATTGCTGGGCTCAAACCCAGGGCCTCACCCGTGCCAGGCAGGCTGTCCACCGCCGAGCAGACCCCGCCTCCTTTGTGTGACGAAGGGGAACACTGGGGAAGCATCGCTGGCATCCCTTTGCCCCGTGCCTTAGATGCCGCTCTGCCCACTGGAAGTTGCTGTCAGCACGGGAATCCTTGCTGACCCTCCCACCCTGCAAGCGGTGCATACACTGGGCTGTGAAGCTCCGCTCAGGATAGGACACTTAGTGTCCGGGAACAGCGGATCGTGTTTTTATTTGTAGACAGAAAACTAGGTGCAGAAAGCGAGCCCCCCCTCTGGCAGAGGACCGAGGGAATGTTTTACACTTACCATTTTGCTGTTATTTGTGATGGTACTGTTTGTGGTGCTTTCTGAATTTCTCTGCTAAACACGTATTTCTTTCAGCCTTGGAGGATGGTTCACAATAAATGTGATTTTTAAAACACACCCCCCTGACTCTGCCTTCTCTGCGGGAGCAAAGCGCCGCTCTTCCCTCTCCGTGCTGCTTCATGACAGCGCTTTCCGAAGCTCTGGCCTTGTGGGCCTGCCTGGCAGGGGACCGCCCGGCTGCGGTGTGCCCTTTGCCAAGTGCTGGGGACCAGGCCCACTGGGTGTGCACCTTCCTCTGGGCCCCGCTTCTCCCGCTGTGCTGACCCTCCTGGAATCCCAGAGAAGTCTCCAAGGCTGAGCGAGCCAGGAACCAGGGACCTAGGCAGCGCCCCCCACCCCACCCTGCTGGTCCCAGCTCTGCTGCTGCCTGGCCAGGCCCTGCTCCTCTGGGCAGCTTCCTCCTGGGGTCTTGTGCCTGTCCTGAGCCCCTAGCTTGCTTCAGAGCTCCCATATCCCCTCACCTAGCAGCCACCAAGGTCAGATTCCAGAGGGTAAGTAGAGGCAGGGCTGGGGCCTGTCAGTTTGAGGCCAGCTGGCTACAACGTGAGCTCCAGGCCAGTCCAGACTACATAGTGGGCCCAGCCCAGAGAGCTGCTGCAAGGCAAACCTTCCCTTTTCCTCCAGCTGTTTCTACCTGCTGCCTCAACTTCTGGTTTGCAACCCTGCACTAAGGTTTCTGGGGTGCGGGTGGCCTCCCAGATGTCACTCGGTGACTCCAGTTAGGAGAGGTTGGGTCACACTGCAGTGACAGAAGCCCGGGTCTCCTTCACACCACATGTCGGCCGCACGTGGCTGCTCCGAGCGGAGTTCCCTTCCCGGATCCAGCCTGCAGCTGCCATGCAGGGTGGGAGGGACACAGGTTTACAGGTTGTCATCTGTAAGTGACTCCTCTTCCTCTGCTTGCCGTGCATTGACAAGCAAGTCATATGGATGGGGGCAGAGAATGCAGTTCTGCCAATGGCTGAAAAGAGGATCACAAGGAATACCGGTGGGCAGCACCACAGGAGGCCTCGGAGGAGCGTCCAACAAACCCAAACAGGCTGCGTGTGGTGGTGCCCGCATGCAGTACCCGCTGCCCGGCAAGCTGAGGCAGAAGGTAGTGAGTTCAAGCCGAGCTTTACCAAGGTCCTGTCTCCAGGTGAAAATGAGGCGAGCAGTGCTGGGGATGTAGCTCAGCACTCCTGGGTTCAGTCTCCAGAGCTGTGAAACAAAACACTCAGGAATTAAGGGGTTTACCCACATGTCTGCACTGCAGGCCTTTTCAGAGCCTTTATGATCATTCTGATCATCAGAAACAGCCACTGCAGTTTGCCTAAGGGTAAAATACTCCAGTCAGGGTTCCTCCTAGGCCCTCTGCCACCCTGGCCAACGCCTTGCGTGTGCACAAGCACACACACACATGCACGCACAACGCTTGTGTTGCATGGCAGAATATGTTACACGCTCATCTAGAAGTGGCATGCTTACAAGAGGAAAGATGGAGGACGTATAGAACAAGATGATTGGTGGAAGGAAGTCAGGTGACCACGGTACCAGGCCCACATCTGCCCTCAGGAGACCTTCTAACAGGATGCTTTAAAAGCCACCACTGTTCCTGTTTTACAGGTGAGAACAGGCAGTGTTAATTTTACAAGTGTCCCACTTACATGATGTGCGTGGCGAGTGTGTTCCATTTCCTAGTTCTTCTCTGCAAACCTCTGTGTTCACACCAACACGCCCTTTCGTCTGCACTGGAGGCCAGCAAGGCCCCGAAGCCTCAGCTTGGTGGCCAAGGCCAGGTCTGGAGCCCTGGGCTGGGCCTGTGGGTGCTGAGCCAAAGGAAAGTGGAGGGGCTTGCAGAGTCTGGGCTTGTGAAACTGGCTACAAAGTGCCATGGGGTGGGTGCGGCCGAGGCCAGGCTCCTGCCAGCACAGTGCGGCCCTGGCTCCATCTCCGCCAGAGCCTAAAAAGATCCTGCTGGATAACAGCCGGAAGCATCTGAAGTTTCTTTCTGCACACAGATCTTGGTACTATTGTATGCACTGGATGTCACCCTGCTCCTTTAAGATGGCTGGAAGGAGACCTGGCCTTGGGAGGCTTCTGAGCCCTCAACCCTGTGTCCACTCCCTGAGACACACGAGCATCATTAGGAGGGAAGGAGTCAGACACATGTGGGTGGGGGCCACACTTGACCTGCAAGCTGTGGAACTGAACGGAAGTTACTCCGTCTCTGGCTCGCAGTCTCCTCCATTCTTTTTTTTTTTTTTTTTGTCTTTTTTCATTTTTATCGGTACCGGGGATCGAACTCACGACCGCCTGCTTGCAAGGCAGGTGCTTATGCCACTGAGCTAAATCCCCAGCCCCAGTCTCCTCCATTCTTAAAGGCCCCACTGAGGTGTTTAAGTCACCCTGATTAAAAGCCTATGCAGGGGCTGGTACACGGTTCCTTTCAGGGACAGCTAACCCTACCCTCAAAGTCACCCTACAAGGTAAATGCTGGAACTTTCCCAGCTTACAAGAGTAAACTCAGGCTCAGAGAAGCACTGGCTGGTTGAGTGTTTTCAGCACAGGAGAGGTAAGAAGGAGACAAGGTAGGGATTTAATGAGGGCATGGGAGAGCTTTAAGGGGTGCAACGGCTCTCAGCAAGAACACAGCAGTGGGACTAACCAGTCTTGGGAGGAGTTTGGGAGATGGGAAAAATGACATATTAACCACTGATTTGAAGGAGCATCTGCTTGTGTAAACAAGAAACAAAGATTTACGGGCTACTGGGGTTGGCATCTCGGGATTGGAGAGGGCTTGGCACACATGTCAGAAGGAAACAGGAGGTCATCTCTGGAACGAGGAGACGCAGAAGGTACTCTGGGAGAAATGAGTTGTTTCTCTGGGTCCAGTACCAACATGTTACAGGTGGCTAAGCCCCAGGCCAGCAGAACCCTCCACCAGCCTTTCCCAAGGCTGGGAGGGTGTAGAATCATGAAGCAGGCTGGCGGGCCCATCTTTGAGGGGCTCAGAACCGTTAAGTGGGAGCTTATCTGCTTGGCGTCCTAGCCTGTTAGGTGAGATCCAATATTTCTCAGTTTATGTTTTTGAGACAAGGTTTTTGCTTTATAATTCGGGCTGCCCTTGAGTTCACTGTGTAGCCAAGGCCGGCCTCCAACTCGCAGTAATCATTCTGCCTCAAGTCTCCCAAGAGCTGGGATTATACACATGCGCTACCATGTCTGACTTGTTTGTTTTTTTGGTGGACCGGGATCACACTCACAACCTCACACTTGCCACAGAGGCAGTGTGCTACTGAACTATATACCCAGCCAATATGGTATCAAAAACCTGCAAATTCCCAGGACCTGTAACTTCCTAAATCTAAAATTAAAACGATAAAATTAATCTGAAGTCTGAACAACTTTTTAAAAATCTTCTGCAGAATCGTCAGAGTCCTTAGCAAACTTCATCTCGTGGTTTTTTGGTGGAGAAAATGGTCTCCCGGCCACTGGATGCAGCTGAACCAGTCATGTATCCTGGACTCTCCAGGAGCCACGCCAAGTCTTGAGTCTTATCCCTGAGACCCCCTAACCCAATCCCGCGAAGCAGATGCAACCACGTCGAGGGCGTGCAGCGCTCAAAGTTCCAAAGACCCGAAGGAGAAGAGTACGGTAGAGAAGGGCCCCAGCCCGTGTGGTCCGCGTGAGGGCAAGCACGGCAGCCACCGGGCAGCACCCAGCGGGCAGGAACGAGAGAGACCTGAGCGATGCCCTGTCGAGTCTAACAGCGAGTCTTCCCCATCCAAAAGGTGCCACCGCAGACTCCCGGCTGTGAATTCTGCCTGCCCATTTCAGCAGCTCCGCGGGCGTCAAGGGCCGCACAGCGTTTGCCGGGTCCCCAAACCTCAGGACGTCCCGGCGGTCATGTTAGCATCCGGGTCACAGGCTACAGAGGACCAATGAGCGAAGGCACCGCGAGTCAGGGGGTGGGACGTACGCGGGCAACATGGCTGCCCCCAGAGGGCCGCTTCCGGAGACTTGTGGGAGTAGCCCTGACCCACAGCTATACCACCGCGGACGCCCGGGGCGCTCACCGCGGATCCTTGGTCGCGCTCGGGTAGCTCTGCAAGGCGGCGGCTGGAGAGGGAGCCATGGGGGCCGTGCATGCCCGGGTAAGAGGTCCGGCGACTCGTGGACTTCGCGACCGCCGGCAGGCTGGCGTCGCCGCGGAGAGACGCTCCCGTGTCTGCGCCCTGGTTCCCGGGTGAGCGGGCACCGAGGCGACGGGGCCGAGTGCAGGAGGCCGCAGGGAGGTCGCCTCGGACGGGCGGGAGGCCGATGCCAGGGGAGGAGGCTCGCTGCTCTCAAGGTCACTCTGCGAGTCAGTGCCCCAGAAAGGCCTTCAGAGCTTCCCCCACGACCTTAGCGCCTGCCTCCCCAGGCTGGTGTGAGATCGCGGACACAGGGCGTGCAGGGGACTGTCAGAAAATACAGGCAGCAAGCTTAGCTTAACGCGCGCAAGGGACTTTTATTACTTGCGATTCTGCAGTCGGGCAACACTTCAGTGTATGCCCTCGAGAGAAAGTGCCTGTGTGCCAGGTTCAGGAGTTTGGCTTTGGGAACCGAAATTGAGAAAAGCAGAAACGGATCGAGAAGCTGGCAGGTGGTTTCGGGTCGCTTCATTTGTGGAGGCTGAAGCAGAGTTGGTTAAGGCTGCCTTATTAGAGATTCGCCTCTATTATCCTTCTGACTTTTCCTAAGGTTGGACAGACAGGTCAGTCTGGGCTTGGGAGGACGGAATTGAGCCCGCATAACAATATTTTGGTTTGGCCTGTTGAGGTTCGTGTAGGAGCTCAAGGCAAACCAGCAGCCTGTATCAGTTCTGTGTAATGGTGAGCTTCCCAGACTGCTTCTTTTTTTTTTTTTTTCGTTTTTTGTCTTTTTCGTTTTTCGTTTTTTATCGGTACCAGGGATCGAACTCACGACTGCCTGCTTGCAAGGCAGGCGCTTATGCCGCTGAGCTAAATCCCCAGTCCCAAACTGCTTCTTTTTGTGTAATATTAACTGACAGCCAGAGAATGAGTCCTTTGTCCAGGGTCACGCAGAGCTGCAGAGTGTCCCAAACCTCAGATTCCTGGTCCCAACAAAACTTTTGTTCTAGAAGGTGAATTGTCGCATTTTAGCCTGCTCGGTTTTCAGTAGAGGGAAAGAATTTCGCACAGATGTCTCAGCCTGGTTGGCTTCATTCAGAATTCAACCCACTTCCCTTTTGCTCCTCTGCTCTGGTCTCTGGATTGGGCTCTGGTGCTGGGTCTCTGTCCATCAGCTACTTCTTTCCCCAGCTTTAGCCATTACAGGGTTCCCATCTTTTAGAACTCGGTTCAAGCTGGGCTTGATGGCGAACACTTGTAATCCCAGCACTCGGGAGGCTGAGGCACGAGGATCGTTGCCAGTTCGAGACCAGCCTGGGCTACAAAGCAAGCTCGCGGCCAGCCTGAACTCTAAAATGCAAAGCAAAACAAAAACTCAGTTCACGTTGTTTCCTGCATAGACGGCCTCTGTTGCTCCTTTGGATATGCTGCTGCCTTCTCTGGATTTTTCCTCTGCTGTCAGCTCTATTCAGCCTTAGGTCTGTTTGCATTTTGTCTCATCCTGTTAAGTTTCAAGTTTCTAGATATTGCAGTGTGAACTGTATTTTACCAAGCTTTTCTGTGTTTGGTACCAGGAATCGAACCTTGTGCTTGCCAGCCAGGCACTTACACCGCTGAGCTAAATCCCCAGCCCCCCAGCTTTTCACATAACATGTTGAACTACAGGAACTGCCCTCCATTTATACAACTAGTATTTTCTGGTGGCCTGCTTTTGCATGGCACTGTTGTAGGTGCGAGGGATACAGTTTTTTTTAAAAATCTACTTTTGTGGAGTGGTACTCCTTTGATGCCAGAATTGGTGCTGCATTGATTAATTGGCTAACAAACAGTGTTTCCAATGTTTTAGTTTTAACATACCACTGTTCAGTGTTTTGTGTAGGAATCACGATAAGAAAGCAGTTGGCCTTTGCCACTCAGTATTGGCATGCATACATGAAACAACTTTTGTGAAACACTATTATCATGCATTCGATGATAAATGCCATGAATTATGGATTGTTGTATTTTTTTATTCCGATGACTGTCACCTTTAAAGGTGTTGTTTATAGCTCATTCACTTTATCACATGTCCTGTCCTCACTGCTGTGCGTAGACCATGGTTCATGGAAATCAGTAAAAACTTGAAGCTGGATGTGGGGGTGCACACCTCCAATCCCAGCTGAGGAGGTGATAAGTTTGAGCTCAGCCTGGGCAATTTACAACTTAATGAGATCTTGTCTGAAGGAGGGCATAGGGGTGCAGGGACTGTAGCTCAGCGTGAAGGCCCTGGGCTCAATCCCTGGAACTACAAAACAGAACTTGCTGACTGTGGACCGAGGGCACGCAGGCGGTGGGTTTGTTTATGTGTTGACTGTTCCTGGAGCTTGAGCAGGTGCCATCTCAGCCATTTGGCTCTTGTATGGGGTACATTTAATAAAACTGCCAATTTGTAGATTTCCTGTTGTCTTCGAAAATCAGTAGCAAACGCAGTTTTTTGGTCATCCTGTATTTAAGTAATTGGACTGGTACGGGGTCACTGATACGCGTGGGATGACTGGCTCTCCACAGCACAAGGCAGTCTGGGACCTGTGCTTTGGTCTAACTGCCCAGCTGCAGGGCCACCTCGCGGGCTTAATGTCTGCCTTCCAGCTTGGAGGACGCAGATGACTCTGGTGGGTCTTTCAGGAAATGTGGGAATTTTTTGCACAATGGGATATAAACTGCGTCCAGACAAAGCGAAGCATTCTGACCCAGACGCTCAGCACATCTTAACTTGCTTGTGTCTTAGACAAATTAACAGTGATTCCATTTTTAAAATGTTACAGTGCAAAGGGAAATAATAAAGACAGGAAATTACATGTTCTTTGCTCATTGTTATCTTCCTTTTTTAAAGTTTAAATAAAATTCAGCCACGCCACGAGGACATTGTGCTTTTGTTGGCTGCTGTGAGCCTGGTATTTAGCATACAGTGTGCAGCTGGGACTTGTTCGTTTCCTCTCATTGGGATGGGATACTCAGGACCCACAACTTGAAAGAAACAGGGTTAACCTGGCTCACAGTTTCAGGAGTTCAGTTTGTGGTCGGCTGTCCCAAGGCAGGAGTGTCATGGGAGGAAGGGAGCGGTGGGGAACCAGTGCCAGACAGGAAGCAGTGAGGGACCCCACCCAGGCCCCAACACTGCACCTCCCTGAGCCTTCCAGACAGAGCCAGAGGGTGCTCAGCCTCCCGGGCAGCCTGCCCACCACTCAGGCTGGCACAGCTGAGCCTCCGCAGCGCACTCTCTTGTCTCCTGCATGTGTATTGCCTACTCCTGACGTGTCGGGCCAGACAGAAAGCAGGGTGCTATGAAAATCACAAACTTGTGTCAACAAGGCTGTCCCTGTGAAGGAAGTAGCTTGCAGAGATGGCATTTAAAGTGGCGGGAATTACTTAAGGGAAAGGTCGTCTGCATAAGGGATGACGTGCACAGAGCCTGCGTGGTGGATGGAAACTCTCTTTGTAGCCCAGGCTGGCCTCAAACCCGCAAACTCCTCCTGCCTCAGCCTTCCGAGTGCTGGGGTTACAGGTGTGAGCCACCACCCCTGGCTAGAAGAACAGATTTTTCACAAAAAAAATTTTTTTCCTTCACACGGCCCACAACTGTAGATTTAGATTTGTTAGAGTCCTCAGTTCTAACTGTGCTCCTTCTGGGTTTGTGTCACACATTTTTAATTTTTAATCTTTGATTGCAAATATGGTGAATGCCAAAGAGTGAATTAACCTGCAGCCCGGGAGCTTGCCTTGAGCAGCAGCTGTCACCCACCTTTTATTCCCTCTCCCCGCTCTGCGCCCCGACTTTCTAGAGCACCTTCTGGAGCTGAGATGCAGAGGTTTGCTTTGGTTTATGTTGCAAGGCCGTTGAGCTGTGATCCCCACTCTTTCAGAGTTTGGAGCCGCTCCCCGCCAGCGGGCCCGATTTTGGAGGATTAGGCGAAGAAGCTGAATTCGTCGAAGTTGAACCTGAAGCTAAACAGGAAATCCTGGAAAACAAAGATGTGAGTTTCCGGTCCAGATCTTCACGGGACTGCATCCAGGAGCGGTCACCTCGGAGAGACCGCACAGGTTAACCTGTCCCCAGCGGCAGCCACAGCCAGAGAAACCACAACCTTTAGGGAAGTGACTCCTAGCTTTAGACTGGTGTTGTGGGGACAGTTTAGGCAGCACATTTTCGAGTTTATTCTGCTTTTCAATGCGGAGAGAGACTCAGACTAGGCTTAAATTTATATGTTTGTCCCCTGCTCCCAGAAGAGAGGCCCACAGTGTCAGCTGACACTCCTGGACTCTTCTGCCTTTAAATGTGAATAGTGTTGGGGGCTGGGGATTTAGCTCAGCGGCATAAGCACCTGCCTTGCAAGCAGGCGGTCGTGGGTTCGATCCCTGGTACCGATAAAAAGAGAGAGAAAAAAAAAAAAAAAGAAAGAAAAAGAAAAGTTATAAAGACCACATATATGTAACTGTGTGTAAAGATATAGGAAACATTATGAAACTTAGGTTTCCAGCAACCTAGGGAACATTATGAAAATGAGACCCTGATGCAAAAATTCATAAGACAGTTTGGTGTGTTGGTGAACACTTGCAATTCTAGTTATTCAGGGGGCTGAGTAAGGAGGATTCCAAGTTCAGGCCCGACTGAGGCAGCTTGCAAGAACCAGTCTCAAGGGGTTGGAGATTTAGCTCAGCAGCATAATCGCCTGCCTTGCAAGCAGGTGGTCGTGAGTTCGATCCCTGGTACCAATAAAAATGAAAAAGACAAGATAAAAAAAAAAAAATGTGAATAGTGTCACTCAGGCCCCTGACAAGTTCAGCCAAGAAGCACGTGGAGATGTCAGGTTCGCGTCTTCAGCCTGGCGCCCGTGTCCCGAGGAGTGACCAGTGTCCCCTTGCCCCTGCAGGTAGTGGTGCAGCACGTGCATTTCGATGGGCTCGGAAGGACCAAGGATGACATCATCATATGTGAGATCGGGGAGGTTTTCAAGGCTAAGAACCTCATTGAGGTGAGTGCGGGGTGAGTGATCCCCACTGCCCGCTGCAGAGCCTATGACTTATGCCCCTGGAGTCACTGGGCACTTGTCCCTGGCTACCTCCGTCCCCAGACACGTGCTCGTCCTGAGTGGTCATCCCAGGGGAAGAACTGTCTGTCCTCTCACTCCAGCCAGCTTCCCTGTGCTGTTCCTGACCCCATCAGCAGCCAGCATGACCTGGGAACTGAGTCCCCAGCCTTCTGGGCATCCTGCCGGGTGGCAGTCCCTGCAGGGCTGGCCCTCCCCTATCCCTGATGGCCTGTTTTCCCAGCACCTGCCCTCCCCACACTGCCCCTGCTGCCTTACGGGGTTCTTCTGTCCCTCTGCCCCGGGGACCTCACTGACCATGGCTGTGCAGAGGTCACTTGCGGCATCCTTGTGGCCATGTCCAGCCGCTCCTCTCCATGCACTTTTACCTGACCTTTAACTAGCATTTGGCACCGTCACCCATGCATGCTCAACACAAAACCAGTTAAATTTGTGAAGGATTGAGTTGAATATACATGCCAGGGCAGCTGGATGGCACAGAGAATGGCGGGACAGCACATGTGCTCCAGCGCGCGTCCGTCGGGGTGTCCAGGTCTTTCCCCACGTCCCCCCACGCCTTGAGCAGGGCGGACGCCGCCTCAGGACTGTGCTCCTTCCTGCCAGCCGCCGGTGCCTGGGCGCACCTTGGCACTCCTGGCACTGCTCCCACGAGCGATCCCTGTTAAACGCCTTTGGTGTGGCAATGCCCTTGCGGAATGCGTTCTTGACAGCCTCTTAGGCAAAAAGTGCTGTTTCACTGTTTCAGTTTGCGTTTATTTAATGAGGAGCAAGAGTGAGCGTGTTGCCACTGAGCCACTCTCCTGGGAAGCACTGTCGGCCTCCTGTGCCCTGTGTGTCCTGAAGCTTTGGCTGACGGAGACACCTGCGTGTTGGGAACGGGTCACTGTGCCCTCCCGTTACGCTTCTCCACTTTGTTCCCTGTCTCGGGAACATTCCTGTCCTCCCCCGGATCACCTGCTGCTCTGCCTCTCTGGTCGCTGTCCCTCGGAGGCTCGGTGCTCAGCCTCTTTCCCGCCAGCTGCCTCAGCTGTGGCCGTCACCTGGAGAACGGCTCCGTCACACTGGCCCTGCCTCGGGCGTCAGCCAGGCACCCGAAGCTCATGCCCGGGACCTGCGGCTCCCATCCTACCACCTGCCCTGCCTGGCCTTTTGTCTGTCTCTGTCACCTCCCTGGTGGCACAGTCTCCACAGCTTCCTTCTATGCAGTCTCATGCAGTGAGCGTGGCCTCCGCCCCGGCCGCTGAGCGGTCGGTCTCCGGGGTCTGTCGCAGGAGCCTGGTCTTTCCATCTCCGGTTTCTTCCCTGACTAAATCCAACCCCCTCCTGGGTCACTCGAGGACCCTGCCACTGCCCTCTGAGAGCTCTGAAATTGCCCCTTCTCTGCACAAGGTGATGTCCCCCCTCCGGTTACTTCCCGAGTCCTCCCCCACCTGCCTCCTGCACGCCATCCCTCCTGGCTGCCTTTCCAGCGAGTGGGCACTGCTGGAATCAGAAAGGACCGCAGTGCCATTGAGGAGCAGGCAGGAAGTCGAGAGTGGTGACAGCAATGGTCAGAGAAAGGAATCAGCACAGAGGTGCACACTCACACACACGCACCTGCACACACACCTCCCTTTCACCAGAGGAAACCATGCAGTTCACACCTGATCGAGATCCCATCCAGGATGGCCTCCTCAGCCACTTCCTGTGTGCCCTATCCACTTCCGGCTGTCCTGTGCGCTGGCCAAACCCCGCGGCCGGCTGTGATTCCGAGCAGGGTTGTGTTGCCCCGTGCTGTCCCCGTTCTATGCGTGGCTGGCCTGGGGTGCTCTCTTCCCAGCTCGGAGACTCAGTGCCCACCTGGTGTCGCAGCGTCACTTGAGCCTGTGTCTTACGAGAGCTCATCCTCTGTCTCCCTCCCCTTACAGGTCATGCGCAAGTCTCACGAAGCCCGTGAAAAGTTGCTCCGGCTCGGGATCTTTAGACAAGTGGATGTTCTGATTGATACGTGCCAAGGTACCTTGCAGGTGGCTCCTCGGACCCCCTTTCTATCCTCCCAGCCGTGTGTGGTGGTGTGGCCAGACGCACGAAGGTCATCAGGCCAGCCCGGGAAGCAGCTGCCCTCCCTCCTCTGAGGGAGCAGCGGTGGCCTGGATAGCACCGAGGTCCCTGGGGCGTCCCATGAAAGGGAGCCAGGCTTCCTTCACCAGATCCTAGCCCGGTGCCTGCTGCAGGGACTCCTGCCAGGCGCCCCCTAAACTCGTGCTTTAAAAAGGGCGGGGACCAGTTTGTGTTGGCTTTGCGCATCCGCTGGCCTGCTGCGTCGCTTAGCAGTGACTCTCACCTGAGCCAGCCTGGAGAGGCAGCAGCAAGCGGAAGTCACTGTTTCCGGGGGCTCCCGGCAGGTGAGCCAGGCTGGGGCATTGCTGGTAGTGGAGGAGAGTGCTGTGGGCATGCCTGTGTGAGGCTGGTGCAGGCTGTAAGTGTATGGTGCGGTACAGGCCCCACGGGGGTGCCACACATACATCACAGCCAGGGAAACCAAGGCTCCGAGCTGGGGAGGAACCTGCCCCAGGTCCAACCAGCGAGGGGCACGGAGCTGGCACCAAAGTCACTTATGACCGGGTTGCCAGCTCTGCTGGCGTTTGGCCTTGGCTGTCTCCCCTGTCTCTGGTGTGGGCCTGACCTTGGCTTTGCCCAGTGCTCCTCTAGCCTGGCTGCATGTTAGAGTCCCTGGGGCCACCAGGTGGCCGAGTGACACTGCCACACAACAAGCGCCTTGATGCACATTTGCTCAAACCCACAGAGTGCACAGTGCCCAGGGTGACCCCGATGTCAGCTGTGAGTCAGCTGACAGCAGCACACTGCCTTGTGGGCACGGCGGTGTCCCCGTGAGCAGGAGCTGGGGGAGGGGAACGTGAGGTAGGAGTGGTTCAGGGGCTGGGGGAGCGCTGGGCTTTCTGTTTTATCTTTCTGGACACCTCGAGCTGCTCTAAGGATAAACCTGTCCTGGACCCCCTGAGCCCGAGCCTCTGGGAGCCAAGGCCAGGCTTTGCCCACGAGCAGGGACCAGTCCTGAGCATGCACCGGACGAATTTGGGCCGCCCCTCCCTGCTGAAGGTCCTGCTGAAGGACCGCTGCCCTGTCATGATTTAACATGAAACACCGTGTTTCCTTTCTCTTTCCCCCGACGCCCTCGTGTGATTCCAGGGCCTGCGGTGGGCGGGCAGAGCCCTGCAGCGGTGCCCGGCCGTGTCCCCACACGGCGGGGAGGTCAGCTGGCTGAGGCTGTGTGTATCCTGCCACAGAAACGGGGACTGGGTTTTTCTGATTCCGTGTGGGAGTCTTCTCAGACTTTAAAATAGATGGCGCGTTTTCCCAAGGAGATTGTAACATGAAATGAACCTTCAGTTGCTGTTTGTGTTTTTAGCCAAAAATGAAAGACGGTTCTCCAGCTGTCTCCTTGTTGAACCTTGTATTTCCTCAGGCGATGACGCGCTTCCCAACGGGCTGGATGTCACCTTCGAGGTGACGGAGTTGAGGAGGCTGACGGGCAGCTACAACACCATGGTCGGGAACAACGAAGGCAGCATGGTAGGGGGCTCCCCCCCCCTCCCCGCCCCAGGCTCTGCTCTGCCCTGAAAGCTGGCAGAAGCTTCCAAGCTGGTGTCACTTCGTGTCTCCTAGTCCCTTGTGATTGGTGGTTTTTCTTTGAACTCCCTCAAATGGATGAGAATGTACTTTAAATCATTTGGAAACAGTCATTACGAATAGTTACAAGTTGTTAGTAATCCTCACCCTTGTTCACATTACTTTTCTTTTTTGGGGGGGTTGTTTTTTGTCTTTTGAGGCAGGGTCTCGCCGTGCAGTGCAGGCTGGCCTTGAGCTTGCTTTGTAGCCCAGGCTGATCTCGAACTCGCAAGGATCCTCTTGCCTCAGCCTCGGCAGTGCTGGGATTACAGGGTGCACCACCGTGCCTGGCTTCTTCAGATTTCTTTAAATGCCACATCTGTAGAATTTCCATCCCTGACAGTGGTCCCCTGACTGCAGGGACCGGGGCCGTGTGCCCAGTGCTGTGTAAGGCATAAAGGCAGCACCGCGTCCCGGAGTCTGCGTTTGTGTTGCGTGTCTGTGGTGTCCCTTTGCGGGCTGTGCTGTATTACAAGCTCCCGTTCCTTCTGTCCAGACCCCTGCTTTTCTTTCGTCCCCTCTCAGGTCCTCGGCCTCAAACTCCCCAACCTGCTGGGCCGTGCAGAGAAGGTGACTTTCCAGTTTTCCTATGGCACCAAGGAAACGTCCTATGGCCTGTCCTTCTTCAAACCGCGGCCTGGAAACTTTGAGAGAAAGTAGGAAGCCGGGTGGACGCTGTCGGATGAGACAGTGGGAGTGGCTGGCTTGTGCGTGCTTGGAGTGGACAGTCGGCTGCCGCTTCTTGGGGACCCACAGGGCTCTGCACTGACTGACACGCCTGCCATCTGTTCCTGCTGTCTCCTAGTTTCTCCGTAAACATATACAAGGTCACCGGGCAGTTCCCGTGGAGCTCGCTGCGAGAGACAGACCGAGGAGTGTCCGCTGAGTACAGTGTATGTCCTCCGCGTCCTCGGGCCTCCCAGGCGGTTCTCGAAGGCAGTGGGCAGGCACTCGAGCCCAGACCCCTGTCTGCCCCAGTGCATCCTGGGCACCTTAGCTTTGGCCCGAGAGCATCTGCCGCCCGCACTGTGCACCTCAATCCTATGCTGTTGTCTGTCCTCCTGCCAAGGTGGATGGGGAAAGAGACCGAGTGGGGCTGGGGGAGTGGGGCCCACTGCTCCTTGTGTCCCCACAGTGAGCATGGAGACGTCACCTGTGTCTCCTGAGGGGCGGTGCCTCCCTGGAAGGAGCACTGGGAGAGGATTGAGGGCTCTCCACCTCTGGGCATACCTGGGGCAGTGCCCTGGGCCTGGGGGGTGCTGATGTGAGCACCTCCAGGCTGCATCCTGTAAACAGGACAGGGTGGGCTTGGCCCGTGATGGTGCCCCCGACCCACAGTGGCCTTGGGGCCACAGAGCCCAATGGGGGTGGGAGTGGCCTGGTTTCCGCGCAACACGAGTCGCCTTTTTACTCCCAGTGCTACTAAGCAGTGTCCCTCACTGTCCAGGGAGAACACAGGCATCTCTGAGGCAGACCCGAGGCAGGCGGCAGGGCTCTGGGGACAGAGGCAGGTCCCCTTCCCGCAGCCCGGGCTCCTGCCCCCCGGGCGCTGGGCTGTGGAAGCTGCTCCTGGCTCCTGTGGCTTGGTGTCGCAGCCCCTCTGTGGCTGAGGTGGCTGTCTGGTCCCCAGCACACAGCCTGTGGGTCTCTGGCTTTGCGGAGAGGCCCTGCAGCGGTGCCCCCATGGGCGCCTGGGGCAGTTGGTCCTCTGGTCCTCCAGCTTCCCCCGCTTCCTCCATGCTCCTCCCCCGCCCCGCCCCTCCCCCCTTCTCCCTCTCAACATTGGAAAGATTCAGTCTGCTCCGGCAACAGGGGATCGCAAGTTTAGGGTCAGCCTGGGCAGTTCAGTGGGCCCCATCTCAAAATTAAGAACTAAAGCAGAGCCAGTGGCACAAGGTGGCAGAGCGCTCGCCTGGCACGTGCAGACTTGGCACTGTCAGAAATGCAAAAGAATGTGGTTGGCTGTTCTGGAGCCCACACCCACTGGTGCCCCTCCCTGCCGCGCCTACAGTTCCCCGTGTGGAGGACCAGCCACACCGTCAAGTGGGAGGGCGTGTGGCGCGAGCTGGGCTGCCTCTCCAGGACCGCGTCCTTCGCCGTGCGCAAGGAGAGTGGACACTCGCTGAAGTCTTCGCTCTCGGTGAGCGCCCGCCCCAGGGAGCCGTGGGGTGTGGGGCTGTGCTGTCCGGGGTGGGGTGTGGTCTCCTCTAGCATCCAGCCTGCTGGGCAGCCCAGGACTCTTTCCCTGGGTGGCCACTGCCGCGCATCACTTTCCCAAGTGACATCGGTGGGAAGGGGGCTGGGGCTGTTGACAAGTGGCCCCTCGAATTGTGGCTTCCAGTTGTAATTAGCAAGTGAGTTGGCTTCTGCTTCGGTGCTAGACGGCCTGGAGACAGGATGGGTGGCAGGATGGGTGGGACAGTGCCGCCTTGCCCCTTGGCTTGGCGCAGGGGCAGGACAGGCGCAGGGAAGCTGCTGGTAGCCAGTGCTCGGTGAGACCGCAGCGCTGGTTTCCAAAGCCGCTGGAGATGTAGCGCCCGTGCCCCGCTCTCTTGCAGCACGCCATGGTCATCGACTCCCGGAATTCCTCCATCCTGCCCAAAAGAGGGGCGCTGCTCAAGGTGAACCAGGTAGGCTCCTTCAGGGAGCGGAGCCATCCGCAGGCGGGGGCAGCGGGGTGGGAGTCCCCCGGGCCATCTGCACTGATCCTGAGCATGCCGGGAACTGCGCAGGCTGTCCAGGGGCTGAGGCTGAAGCTCCGTGGTGAGCACCGGCCTGGGTCCCTGGGTGCAGCACCCAGCCCCATCCTCAGCTGCAGGCGGACCCAGGCTGGGCCCAGCAGGGGCAGGAGCCGGGGCTGCATCCAGTCTTCAGTGTAGAGGACCCTCTGGGCATCAGGTTTTGTGTGGACTGTGGCACTCTGAAGGATCAGCCAGGGTACCCACACCGGCCATGCGCCCCGTGCGATGTCTTAGTGCCCCGCCCAGCACCTGGTACCATTTATGGCAATTAGGAGCACTCTGATGATCCAGTGCCTGCAGGAGTCCTCCTCCGCCCTGACCTGCCCCTCCCCTCCGCAGGAGCTGGCAGGCTACACTGGCGGGGACGTGAGCTTCCTGAAGGAGGACTTCGAGCTGCAGCTGAACAAGCAGCTGGTGCTGGACTCAGTGAGTGTCCGAGGGGCGCTGCCGCCTCAGCTGCTGTCCTGAGACCCTGCTCAGAAACCTTGACCCTGGACAGCCGGTGCACTCTAGGGGAGACAGGCGGCGTGAGGCTGAGGCTTCCGATCTAGGGCTTCTGCGGACAGACGATCAGTTGCTACTTTCTTCTAAAAAGAACCTGCCAGACCCCAAGGCGCCCCTTCTGCCTGCCCTCTGGATGCCCTGCAGGATGCCCTGCAGGAAGCGTGGCTGGGCCGGCTGCTCAGTGCTGCTCTTACCTGGGAGACCTGACCGTCCTGTGCCGGGCACGGGCTCTGGAGGCTTCTGTAATTCACTGATCAGTTTGCTGGTTCCCTGATTCACAGTGGCCATCTCCCACCGTGCCCTCACTCTGCTGGCCCTGGCCTCCTGGTTCCAGTCAGGGTCACAGCCCTGTCCTTCCGGGCTCTGCTGCACCTGGGGCTCAGTTCCTGCCTTTCTCCTGCACGGTCACTCAGATGCCGCCGTGCCTCTCCCGCCCTGTCCCCCAGACTCTCGCTGTCCCTCCCGCACTGCACGCCGCTGCCTGCTCACGCATCCTGGGCTCTCTGGGCCTCATTACTGTGGTTCTTTCTAGTTCCCCTGTGTGGTGTTGGTGGCTGGGTGGGGACACCGCCTCCACCCTGAAATCCCGTGGCACCCACATGGCCTGCTCCGCTCCTGCCGGCCCAGTTTTCTTTCATCTGTGATCCTTCCCACCGCTGCTTCTTAAAACCCAGTGTCTGAGCCGCCCTGAAGGCTGGGGACAGCGATGCAGACAGCCCGCTGTGGCACATGGGCCATGGGTTCGACCCTCTGCCGTAGGAATTTTCACGGCAGAGAGGACAGGAGGGTAGCAGGTACCTGGGCAAGAGAGCGGCTGGGACGCCCCGCCGAGCAAAGGCCACTGGGCATAGGTGCCTGCTGCCCGACCGGACCCGGCCCGACGGGGGCTGTGTCCGGGGTCATTTAGCCAGGAGCATCCTTGTGTCACGCAGGTGCCGGAGCGTTGCCATCCTGGTCCTCCTCTGGCCGAGAGCTGCATCCCTGTCCTCCTGCATTTCCAGGGCCAGTGTCCCTGTGCGTCAGGCCCAGGGTGGGAGCTGCCTGGTGACAGGGCGGAGCTGGGCCCTGCTGGGCCTGGCGGTGGCTTTGTGCACTGTGACTGATCTCTCATGGCTACAGCGCTCTGCGGGTCGGCAGGCAGCTGGGAGCTGCTTTGTAGGGCAGCGCCTGGCGGGAACCCAAACACTGTCCGTGTCTGCACAGGTGGTCTCTGTGTCGCTGTGGGGTGGTATGCTGGTGCCCATTGGGGACAAGCCGTCCAGCATCGCTGACAGGTAAGGAGGGACCTCTGGGTGGGAGGCGGACTCTTTCCTTTGGGTGTTTTTGGATGGTTTCTTATACAATACTTCAGAGGAGTCTTGTTAGAAGAACGGTATTTCAATTTTACCCTACTTTTGTCCTATTTTTTTGGTCTTTTTTGAGACAGAGCCTCACACTGCAGTTCAGCCTGGCCTTGGGCTCCCTTTGTAGCCCAGGCTGGTCTCAGACTCACAGTGATCCTCCTGCCTCGGCCTCCCGTGTGCTGGGATCGCAGGCATGTGCCACCGCACCCTGGTTTTAATCTACTTTTGATGTTTAAGCTAATTTTGAGCTATCCAGTGCAGCTTATAATTCTTTTTGCTTTGTATACTACCTTATTGTATTAAAGATGCATTTTTTTTTTATTATGAATGGGTGGTAATTCACGAGGAATTGTAGGATAATCACTCACCAGTTCTGAGACGCTCTTCATAAACAGCGTTTGATTGGCATGTGATCTTTCATTACTTGCATATGCTGTAACTTTTCAGCCTTCTTCAATATTTCTTGATATTTTAATTGTTTATAATTTTGTAAGGTCGTTGTTGTGATTTTTTTTTTCCATAGCCCTGGGGATTGAACCTAGCGCTGTTTAACTTTTCTTGTAAGACGGGGTATTGCTGAGTTGTCCAGGTTGGGCTTGAATTTGTGGTCCTCCTGCTTCAGCCTCCCGAGTACTGGGATTGCAGGCGTCTACCGCCCTACTGCCGAGCCTAGCTAGGCTTGTGGTATTTCTAACAACACTGCAGAACGTTATAAATCACTTGCTCATCTTATTACTGAGGAGAGTTACAATCTCAGAGTGAGGCCTTTTTGCCGACATGGTGACACACAGCTGTAATCCCAGCATGGGGAGGCTGAGACAGGAGAGTCATGTAGAATTTGAGGCCAGCCTGGATTACACAGTGAGTTCAAGACCAGCTTGAACTACATTGTGAGACCCTGTCTCAAAAAGACCCAAAAATCAAACAAACAAAAATCCCCAGCGTAAGGCTTTTTAAGACCTTTGAAGAATCTTTCTGGATCTACCTTTTCGCGAGCTGGTAGCAGTTGGTGGCCGTAGTATGGGGTATGAGACCATGGTCGTTGCTCAGAGATGCTACTCGTTGTCACCAATGGAGAGCAAGGGACTGTCCTCACCTGGTGTTGGGTGTAATGTCTCCTTAGCTTAAACTGCTCCAGCCTTTGGGAGGCACTTCGGCAGTGCCAGAATATCACACCTGTATGCTCGGTACCCTGGGCAGCGCGAGCCCAGAGGAGGCCTGGCTTGGAAAGCAGCCCCCGTGTGTCCCCTCGGTGTCCCAGGCCTCCCGTCTCTGCCCCACGTCGCCAGAGGTCTGCAGCATTGTTTAGGAGTTTAGAGCGGGGGTGGGCTAAGTCTCCCCGAGTCTTTCTCGGGTGAGACTGACGTGGGTCACCCAGAGCTGGCTGAGCCCCACGCATACCCCCGTCCTGTCCCCTCCCCTGTCTGAGCAGCACGAGGAGCTTCCCTGTGGCCCGCCTCCCACTTGTGCCCTCTCCCCCTAGGTTCTACCTCGGAGGACCCACCAGTGTCCGAGGCTTCAGCATGCACAGCATCGGACCCCAGAGCGAAGGTCTGTCCCTGCCGGAGGAGGGCGCTGTGTGTGTGTGTGTGTCTGTGTGTGCGCGCGCGCGCACGTGCGTGTGTGTAGTTGAGGTCGTGCGGTACAGATGTTGGTATTCACTGCTCAGGAACCAGCGCCCTACCCGCTCAGTAAATACCAGCGAGCCCAGGTGCTCGGTCAGGGCAGGGCTGGGACTGCGCTTGTAGGGCAGCCGTCGGCCTGGCTTTCAGATCGCCAGCCTGCCCGCCCGCACCCCGGGATGAAGATGCGGTCCTTACCGTGTTCAAGGCCTGCACGTTTTGTTTTCTTAACACAGTAGGATTTTCTGAAAACCAGACGGCAACTCTCGGACCTTCAGCTCCGTTGCCAGTGTAGGGATCATAAAGCAGCCTGAGTCTCGGCGCTCAGGTGTGGATTCCAGGGCGCACGATCGAGGCCTTTGTCTTGCTCGGTGGGAAGGTGGCCTCGGTCAAGCCCTCAGCAGGGTTCAGCTGGACATGGTGGCACATGCCTATAATCCCAACATTTGGGGGGCTGGTGCAGGAAGATCACCTAGAATTTGAGGCCAGCCTGGGCCACATGGAGAGTTCAAGGCCAGCCTCAACTACCTAGCCAGATCCTGTCTCAAAAAACAAAAGCAAAAGAAAGATTCTTTAAAATTATTGTTTTAAAGAACTGTTAAAAAGGGGCTGGGGATTTAGCTCAGCAGCATAAGCACCTGCCTTGCAAGCGCGAGGTCGTGAGTTCGATCCCCGGTACTGATTAAAAAAAAAAAAAAAACTGTTAAAGATACAATTAATAATAGTCAAAGCTGGATATGAGAAATCCAGAGCCCACTAGGAACAAAATGGACAAATAATTGTTGCTATCTTCACACACTAAAGAGAAAGAACAAATTATCACCACCAGCTGGAGGAGGGCTGGAATGAACCTTAGGAATCAGTGCCCAGCAGAGCCAGACCCAAAGAAGTGCACGCAGCGTATTCCACGTGTGCACGGCAGGGTCAGGACAGCTGTGGGCACAGGTGGCAGAGTGACTGGGAAGGGCCTTGGCAAGAGTCCGGGTGCCCTCTGGGGAAGAAGTAGGAGCCAGCGTGGCAGCGGGAGAGAAATGGACAGTCACGTTCTACCTCGTGGGGCATGAAAGTCACGTTTTTAAAGACTAGAACCCGCCCAGAAGAACCGCATATAAATACACTAAAAGCACTTACCTGCTGAGGTCGTGTGTGTTGTACGTCATTGGGTGGATGGGGTTTTATTTAGCTAGTTGTCTGAGTGTTAGAAATTAAATTATTCTCATTTTTTTCCTATTTCTGTGTCCGGTTTTCTACAAGAGTGTATTGTTTTTCTGGTGAGCATCACCTGCTTTAGCGAGGAGGGCGGTTTCCAGGAGACAGTTTGCCTCCCGCTGTCTCTCTGCTGTTGGTTTCTTTGGGACTTTAGTTGTCAAGGGGGGTCAGGAGTCGCTGAGGTCTTTAGATGAATGTGCTCTGCGCCTCCAGGTTGGTCCTGGAGCTTGGTGATGTCTTGCAGCCTGTCATCTGTGTTAGGGAGGGAGACACTGGAAACAGTGTTTTTGCAACCTTGTAGCAGCTTGGAGAGCTTTTTATAGCTTTAATGTTGCAGCTATTTATAAATAAGATGTCAGATAGGAGCCTTTATAGAAATAATGCAAATATTGGCTCTCAGCAGCCAATCTTGAATTTTGGCAAAGCAACCTTTGTCCGGAAGACAAAAGTCCGAGCGGTCCTGAACCACTGTCCTGGGTCTCGAGCTGCGCTGCCCTTTGGGTACTCGGCAGATTCTCGGTCTTGCCAAGTTTGCAGAATGATGCATTTCTTACCTGGAGGGAGCAGTTTGGCATCTAGTTGTGGATGCAGTGATTTTCCTGCGATTCGCTTCATGCTGGAACCTTTTTGCAGATGTGCTAGGTCACCAGGTGCATGCTGTCCCCTGCCACAGTCTACCTAGGCCGGCAGGGCCGGGAGGGAAGGAGAGGCTCGGGAGGAGGCGGGCGCGGGTGCTCAGAACCAGGCCTCGTGGCCCCGGTGTCCCCGCGTGCGGCCTCCGAGCTGGCGAGGCTGGCGAGGCACCCACGTGCTCAGGCCTGGCCCTGGCCCCTCCCTTGCCAGGGGACTACCTGGGCGGCGAGGCGTACTGGGCCGGCGGCCTGCACCTGTACACGCCGCTGCCCTTCCGGCCGGGCCAGGGCGGCTTCGGAGAGCTCTTCAGGACCCACTTCTTCCTCAATGCGGGGAACCTCTGCAACCTCAACTACGGTGAGAGGGCCCGCGGGGCTCGCGTGGGGGCCCCCACCCCTCCTGCGTGCTGGGGGTGGAGCCTGGGGTGGTCTCTTTTTGCCTGGGCTCGCGGGACCCCAACCCTCCTTAGTACTGTCTCCTGGCCTCTGCTAAATGTGCCCAGGCTGCGGCAGGGACAGCCCAGGCTGTCGCTGATGGCCGCGTCCTCTCTCCCCAGGGGAGGGCCCCCGCGCGCACATCCGCAAGCTGGCTGAGTGTATCCGCTGGTCCTACGGCGCGGGCATCGTCCTGCGGCTTGGCAACATCGCGCGGCTGGAGCTCAACTACTGCATCCCCATGGGCGTGCAGCAGGGAGACAGGTACGCGGGGGCTGTGCGCAGGCGCCTCTGCGGGGGCGCGCGGGCACTAACCAGCTGGCAAAGCACAAGACAGGCGCACTCCCAGGAGCGTGCAGCGTGCCCACCCCCTTCCCCCGGACTCTCCCTCCCACCAAGGTGCAGAGCCCCAGAGCGCTTGGCGGCATTGACAGTGCCAAAGACCAGTGGCGCCCAAGCCCCTGAGGTGACGCGGTGCGCCGTTTTGGACCCGCGCACGTCCACGTCCAGCGCAGTGGGCTCCGGGGTACCCCTCACCCGGGCTGTGTGCACAGTCACCGTTCGTGCGGATGCGGCGCGGGACTCAGCCCGTGGCGGAGCCAAATTCTGCTTGTGGGAACTTTCTGGATTTTTTTCTCCCCAAATATCATTAATTCACATTTGGGCAACTCTAGGGGTGCAGAACCTGTATATACTAAGGGCCCCCTGTAATATGTGGATAAATACGATCAAAGGGTGTTTACAGTTACAGAAATTAATCCCTTGTTTGTTTTGAGACCGGGTCTCATGTAGCCCAGGCTGGCCTACAACTCACAATGATTGTCCTGCCTCAGCCTCCAGAGTTCTGGGATTACAAGCGTGTGCCACCATGCCTAGCTAGTTTTTTTTTTTGTTTTTTTTTTTTGTTTTTTTTGTTTTTTTTGTCTTTTTCATTTTTATCGGTACCAGGGATCGAACTCACGACTGCCTGCTTGCAAGGCAGGTGCTTATGCCGCTGAGCTAAACCCCCAGCCCCTGCTAGTTTTGTTTTTAAAAAAATTTTTTTTAAATTTTTAAAACCAGCACTAGGAATTGAACACAGGGTCTTTGCACTAAACTTTATTCTCAGGACTTTTAGAGAATGTTTTCTTGTGAGACGAGACCTTGCTGGGTTTTTCAGGCTGGGCTTGACCCTGCAGTCCTCCTGCCTCAGCCCCCCAGCATGTGGGTGGCACACCCAGCTGACTGCCGTCTCTGCTATCGCCTGGGCTGCACTGTATAGATGTGGGAACTCGGGGAGTCTCATGGTGACAGGGCACACTCAGTGATGCAGCTCCCACTGCAGGCATGGAGGTGGGGGACCCAGCTCCCGGGGCTGCCCCCTCTTGGCTTACGGGCAGCGGGGAGAGCGGGGGCTCCGGTGTCTCTGGGGCACCTCTCACCCCAGCCCTCCCATAGCTGTGGGGACGGGCAGGGGCAGGGACCACACAGCCAGGGTGCTTCCTGCAGGCCAGGGCCGGGGCTATGGCTGAAAGCACACAGCCTTCTGGGCAGGGCTGAGGGCAGGGCTGTCCTGAGGCGGAGCTACGGAGGCTCAGCTGGGGGTGGGGGTGCTGGGCTGATCAGGGCTTAATGATCTCTGGGAGCGGGAGCCAGAGAGGAGGGCTCCCTGGTTGGCAGGCTGGGGCGCCTCCCACCCGATCCCCAGCTCTTTGGGTGGAGGTCTGCGTGGGACACTCGCCCTGCATGCCAGGCTGTGCTTCCCACCCAGGAGGAGAGCTGGGGACCGCAGGCTCCGGGGCTGCAGTACCAGAAGTGACCACTGGGTGTCAGTGCACCCCGCAGCCTGCGCCGCCCACCACTCCTGCTACAGATCCTGCACACTCTGTGAGCTTTGTTTCATGGTGCCCTTTATTCCTGGAGCATCCTGCCTGCCGTGCCCTGCCCTGCCCCGGCGGCAGCTGTGCTGACGCACGGTGGTGGCCGCTCATGATCGCTGTGGGCCATGAATGTGGACCAGGGCCACCCAGCATCCTGGGCAGTGCTGTGCTCAGCTGGATATTTGGTCACTAGAACTGGGACTCGAGTTTAAGGGTTGCCTGATCCGGTGCCGTGGGCTGTGTGAGGGCCTGAGGTCTCTGCAGAAGCGGGGACAGCCTGGGCGCTTACCAAACACACCCTGATGGGGTGGTACGGTTGCTGCCGACTTCTGAACACAGAGTCCCGAGCCCAGGCCAGGCTGGCAGTGAGATGGGGCCTGGGCCGAGTCCCCAGAGGATGGCAGGCCTGGAGCGCATCTGGCACACAGAGGGATGGATGTGCTGCAGGGTACACGCAGCCCGAGTCTTCCTGGACGTAGTAGAAAGTGGGGTTCAGGCGGGAGGTGGCTGGGCTGAGCCTCGGGGTTACGGGATTTGGTGGCTCCCGTGTAACACAGGCTCGTCCATGTAGTCGTCTGGGCCAGCCTGGCCTGAGGGGCTGCTCAGGTGACAGCGGCATGGGTCTCATGCTGTCGCTCGTTCCCAGGTGTTTTTCTAAATCAGGAACCTGGACCTCTGCAGCTTCCGTAGATGGGGCAGGAGGAAAGATCACAGCAGGACCCAGCGCCAGGCCTGGGCTGCAGGCAGGGAGCTGGCCGGGCTGCTGCAGCTCACCAAGCGTCTGCCACTGCCCGGGATGGCACTCGGGTCAGGGCCTCACTCCTCCTGTCCCAGTCTCAGCCCCGCTGAAAGGGGGTCCACCCTGCCTGCCTTCCTCCCATTTTCCAGTCCAAACCCGGCTGAAGAAACAGCTGCAGGGGAGGCGAGCGGGAGAGGGGCTGGGCGGGGCTGCCCGCAGTGTCCCTGCTGCCGCTGTTGGCCGCTTCTCACCGTCCCTCCGCCTTTCTTTCAGGATATGTGACGGCGTCCAGTTTGGAGCTGGGATAAGGTTCCTGTAGCCGCCCCGGGGTCCTCACAGCCACACGAGCTGGGCCTCATCCTCGCCGGACATGGTGTCAATAAATTGCGAAGCTTTGCACTCGGCCGCAGCGGGGCTCCGGTTTGCTTCTCTCTGACGTCTGTGTCGCCTGAGTCCCTTGGCTGTGCCACCCCAGGCCTGAGGCCGCTCAGACGCCCAGGATTCCTTTTCCTCACAGCTCTCGGGGACGCTCAACCTGCTGTCCGTGGGCATGGGGGGGTCCTGGTGTGCATTGTCACATGGGAGAGGTCACCACGCTGTGGTGCTGGGATGCTGAGGTGAGCAGGGGACACGTGTCATCTGTAGGCTGATGGCAGCCACCTCAAAGTCAACCCACAGAGCCTCGGGCTGAGACTATGCAGACTGGGGCGAAGGGCAGGGCTCGCGCCGCTGCCCCTGCCTGTGTTTGGTGTGTGACAGCCCCGCATTCGATCCTCAGCGCTACAGAGCAGACGCAGCTCGAGCTCAGATGCAGGTTCACCTGAGCTCGAGTCCAGCCTGGGTCTCACCAGGGTCCAGCCGAGGCCTCAGCTGGGCTGTGCGAGCAGGGCTGGGCCTTTCCCCGGTCCCAGCTGCCACCCCCCCTGCCCCCCATCTGATGCTCCACCTCTGCCCCCCCAGACCCTCTCGATGACCGAGACCCCACAGGCAATCAGCACCCCGAGTTCTGCCCACCGCCGCCTCTGCCTCTCACGCCGTGCTGTCCTTGCCCTCGGTACCCACCGGCCACGGGCGCAGCACCACTTGGAGTCCCGAATCCCCCAGTGCTCACGCCTCTCATTCTTACACACGGAGCTGCGTGTCTCCTCCCATCTGTCCCAGCGCAGTGTTTGCGTAATCTGTGCCCAGTCTCCCGTGGGCACAAGACCTCCTTCGGGTGACCTGCGATACCTCAGACCGCGCAAGCACTCTGAGTTAGCTGTTTCAGGGAACCGCTCAGGGGTCCTGCGAATGACAGACATCCAGGCCTGGCCGGTACGGGAGCAGGGTGCTTCCTGAGGTTCTCAGTGCATGGCTGGCCGCGTCTGTGGATGCAGAGCTCCACTTCCGAGGTCAGGGTGTGGGCACGAAGGCTCCAGCCCTCCCTGGGGCACCCACACAGACCGTGCCCAGGTGCCACCCCTGCTGGTTCCTGCTATGCGGTCCCTGTCTGGATTTCCTGACACCTCAGTCCCTCCGCCCCACAGAGGTGAGGCAAACAGGTCTTCCTGAGATCCGCCCCTTGGTTCGAGTGCACTCTGCTCTTCCCATCGTCCACAGCAGTTCTGGAGTCCTCTTTCCTGACCGTCACCATGTGTGACCAGTGAGTGCTGCTGCCAGCTGCCGTCCGGCCCTGGAGAAGCAGGTGCCAGAGACACCGCAGTGTCCTCTCCCGCACAGTGTCCTCTCCCAGCTCGTTTGCGACCCGGCCCCCTGTGACCTCTAGCTCTTCCCCAGAGTCAGAATGACCCTGAGAGGAGCACGTTTGGGGCTGAGCCCCATGGAGGCCGCCAGACCCTCAGGAAAGGCCACTTCCGGAGCTGCTGCAGAGGGCGGCAGGAGGAGGGCTCGGCTGCTCGAAGCCGGGGCGGTGTTTGGAGGGGACACATGTCAGGGTGTGTTCAGAGTGCAGACGCCGCAGAGTTGTCACACCTCCTGTCAGATGGGCGGGGTTGGGGGACAAACCTCGGATAGCCGGCTGGCATAGAACCCGGAGCTGGGCCCCGTGTGGCTGTTCACCAGGTCCGAGCACTGCTTCCCCTGGGCCTCAGGTTTCTCTTCTGTCGAGGAAGGTTTGCTCCTCAAACCCAGGGGCCAGGAGCCCTGGGCACTGCCGGGGACGCCTAGCCCTGCGGGAATCTGGGCTGGGACACTCTTAAATACTAATTTCCGCTCGGGTGCAGTGGGTGCCTGAGACACACGCAGCCCTAGATTCAGCCCAGCAACACAAGACAGAACTCGGGCGGAATTCCACACCGACTCGGGTAAAACCATCAGCAAAATCCTAGCGCGAAGGCTGGTGGTGCTGTGGGTTCTGCAGCCTCCCTGGTATCATCTGACTGAACCAGGTGAGTTTTCTGTGTCCCTTGTAACACCTGGAGAAGGCAGGAAGGGGCCTTCCAGTAACTGCATGTTCTGCGGTGTTTTTTTGGGGTTTTTTTTTTTTTTTTTTTTTGCTGTTTAAAGAAAGCATCTCGATATGTAGTTCGACTGGCCTTGAACTGGAGGCCGTCCTCCTGTCTCAGCCTCCCACATCCGATTTGGATAGTCTTTGACACTTCAGCGAAGCGCACTGACAGTTTTGTTTCTTTTTCGGGGTTGCTGGGGCGGAACCCAGGGCCTCCCACCTGCTCCGGGGTCCTCTGCCCCCACCGGGGTTGTGTTTTGCAGGTCACAGGATGTGAGGACCCGCCCCGCCTCACAGCCAGGGGGCCAGCTCTGGGGCTGCTGCCCAGGCCCGGGTTGTGAGAGCGTGCGTTGGTCGTTTGGGGACCAAATGCCTCTCTGCTTCTCGGAATCAGTCACGTCTTCCAAATGCCGAGGGAGAGATCACACTCAGTAGTCCCTGCACCAGGCTCGGGGGTGCCGAGGGGCTGCCGAGCTCCGGGGGTGGGTGCATGTTTTCTCCTGTTCTCACGCCCACCTGAAAGCTCAAGTTTTCTCCCTGACGGGAGACGCTGTCAGTTACTTCCTTGAAGGTCATCCATCTTCCAGGAAACGCCTGCCAGCTGCCACCTCCGAGTCTCCACAGCCTTCCGGCCTCTCTGTTCCCTGCAAAGATGACTTCGTGTGCAGGGCCCGTCCATGGCCATCCCAGGACTGGGGCCTCGAGGTGGGGAAGAGCCAGAGGAGATTCCAACACTGATTCCAAGTGGTGCCGTGATCAGCCATGGTGACTGCAGTCCCAGGATTTGGGAGGCTGAGGCAGGAGGATCCTCCTGGGTTTGAGACCAGTCTGAACTACAGTAATACTACTAATAATAATTAATAGTGATGAATAATATAAAAATACCCCCAGACCCTTTTATTATCAGATAAGAGCCGTGCCCATCTCCTGGCCCCTAGACCCCATTTGTGAAATGGGGGTGCCCAAAGCAGTCAGTAGCTGCTATGTGGCAAAGTGCCAGGTTCCCTGGGAGCTGTTTGGTCTCTGTGCCCGGCGCTGCCGTGGCTGGGGACTCCTGGTGTCAGAACCCAGAGTGCAGCTCGGGTCTGAAGGTGAGCTGCAGGTCCTACCGGGATGGAAGCTGGCGCGGGGTGTGGGATGGAGTGTGGGGCAGGTGGTGAGGTCTCAGGTCCAGGGTGACCGGGATCTGCTTGTCCCGGGGCCAGTGCCGCGGCTCTAGCCATGGGCTTCTCCTGCCCGGTGACTGGGCCCCTCCGCCAGCCCCTCAGGCAGAGCTCTGCAGAGCAAAGCAGAGTGGTGCGTTGTCTGGCTGGAAAAACAAACAGCAATTGTTTCTGAAAAGAGCACGTGCTGTGGATCAGGCCACTCGGGGTGACAGTCTCCTTCTCCGCCCTCCACCATCCCTGACACCTGTCACCGCCCGAGGAGCGGTGCATTCAGATCTTCAGTCTGCGCTGGGGAGAGGAGCAGCCTGGATCCCCCACCACCATCGAGGAGGAGAAGGCGACCTCCCGGTGGAGTCGGCACCCGGCCCGATGGCTCCCAGCTTCTCACACCCAGGAATTACTGCGTCAGTGCTGCTAGGAACATGGGGACATAGAGACCTTGGGTGTGGTGGCCTTGATGTGTGGCCTTCACCTTCCGGAGTGAAGATTGACCAAAGCCCTTATCAGGAAGAAGCGTTGAAATCAAAGAGGCTGAAGGTCTTGAGATGTTACTGTCCCTAGTAAAGGCTGGCGGGGCGTGGTGTACGGGCCTGTTACCCCAGCACTCGCGAGGCTGAGGCAGGAGGATCCCCAGGAGTTCCAGGCCAGCCTGGGCTATGTAGTGAGACTCTCCCTCAAAAAACAAAACAGAGCAAATATATATATGACTCATCAGGAAACTTTAAACCAGGGGGAGGAAGTGGGTTACCTCGCCTCTGACCCTCCTGCCCATCCCCGTGGCCCCGGCTGGTCCTGGGTGTTTCCTGTCTGAAATCAGTGGGCTCCCCGTCTTCAGGTGGGGAACAGGAGGTGTGAGCTGGGCTGGGCAGCGCTTGTGTGCCGGAGTCAGAGCCGGCTGTGAATCCGCACACCTCCCTGCCCTCTTTCTGCAAATGCTGGGCACTGGGCTGTTGGCGGCCCCTGTCAGAGTTCCAGGGTGAACCGTGACCCCGTTCAGGGGTGGGCCCTGCCCCAGCAGGATCCGCGGCTCCCTGGCCCTGCCCCTCACCCCTGCTCTGTGGTCAGCAGCCTTCAGTCAGGGCAGCCCCTGCCCCGAGGCCCGCGCTGGACACCCCGGTGAACAGCTCCTCCAGAAGGAGCTGAGGGACAACAGCGTCACACTGGACGGTTCCAAAGCAGTCACAGCAGCCGGAGTAGCAGATCCCAGGGCGTGGGAAAGGGACAAAGCGCCGGGTCACAAGGACACAGGCTCCGGCTGCACGGGGGGAGGGGGGTGCCCACCTCAGCCCAGAAGCAACAGCCCTTTGGGGCTCCCGCTGCCCTGGTGGGTGTCCAGCTTCCTGTCTCTCCCCAGCGCCGGCACGGGCACGGAGGCCGAGTTTGCAGTAAATGGTAAAGAAAACGAGGTGCCGTTGACCCAAACAACCCGGAACAGCAGCATCAGTCCACAGACCAATGTGAGCTGTGCACAGCAGGAACGCGATAGGTTTGTTGAGTGAATCTTTGAGCAAGCAGAAGAGCTGAACACTCACTTGCTCCCCAGCCAGCAGGCTCTGCAGCCCTTTTCTGTCCCTAGTAGACTATAAATCCATCCTTCTTTCCCTCCCCTGCTGGGGACTCAAGCCCTCAGCTACTGCCCTGGCTTTTCTTCCATTTTTTTATTTTGAGGTTAAGTTTCAATGGGCCAGGCGGGGCTCAGATGTGTGATCCTCCTGCCTCAGCCTCCAAGCAGCTGGAATTCCAGGCATGGGTCACCAGGCCCACTGGTTTTTCCTTTTGCTCTTCATCTAGCTCCAA